TGTTCGTTTCATAAATTTTAAACATATCTTTAAGTTCCTTATTACCATCCAAGACCTGGAAAACAGGAAAGAAATCATGGTAGTGTAACATACAGTAGTTTGTTTAAAGTCAGTATTCTGCAATGTTTTAGGCAGAATATGCAGCTCTTGCTGAGCAGCAGATGTGCTCAACACCTATTGTAGACTTCTATAAAGGCCAATTTCCACTCAAGAAAATTTTCCACAGACAGAAAAGTTTCCGAGAATATCATTGTTAAAAGTTGAAAATTTTCAACTTCAAAATTTTTTTCCGACAGAAAATTTTGTGTAGGCCAATCACATTTTACAAAATTTTCCTGAGCCTATAGTGTCCACAGTTCAAAAGTTGACCGTCTGCCACCCTGTAAAAGTTACTGAAACCCTAGACTTACCAGTACTGGTGCTGGAATTTCAAACTTTGTTTTGTTAATCAACCAGTCTTCATAGTGTTGGTGAATGGATGTGATTAGACTCTGAGAAAAACATGGAGATATTTAATTAGTGAAGCAATTAATCAGTGAAATGATAATGAGATAACGACCTTAGCTGTATGTATTACAGCAAGTCTTTATTAGTACCATTGGAATGTCTGTTTCTTCCTTTCTACTCCGCTTTTTAATTCTTTCATAGCACTCTTTAGGATCTGTTCTCAGGTAAACTAGAAAGTATTATTCAATATTGTCAGTTGTTACAGCTAACTAACACCTCTGAGATGGTGGTTTGATTCTTACTTTGGACTCAAAACATTCATATAGTTTGCCGTAAAGTAATTTATTTTCTTCATGTATTCTCGTTTTCTCCCACAGGGAAAGTTGATAGTGTGTGTTAGATGTGTGCATCGGATCGGCTAATTGGCTAATGTTTAATATCCAACAATTGGCTAATGTTTAAAATCCGATCCGAAATTGTCTAATCCGAATCTGATCTGACTTTTGATAAAGAATTCCAATCCGCAGAATCCTTTAATTTAATTAATAAAATAAATTTCTCATTCAAGTGAAAATATTTAACCAAATAAATATAAAAGCAAGAAATACATGTCAAGAAGCTGACAAAGTGACGTCCAATTGAAGTATCAAACAAATAATGCAGCGACAACCGCGTTGTCATGGATAATTAATTTCCGACTACAAAACAACTTTATCAATCCGAAATGAATTTTTTTGTTCCGAAATCGGATCGGATTTGCACACCTCTAGTGTGTGTGTGTGCATTACTTATAGAGATAGATAAAATTCATGACCACATTGGCATAATCTCAAACAGTCTGTGCCATTGATGAGCGAGTAACTTCCCAACGATGGGGTATTTGCTCGAAACGTTGACATTCTGCTTGTATTTTTCAGGTAGTTGTATCCCTGCCAATCTGCAATTTTCACATTGGTTATAATATTTATTATCTATAATAAGTTCTGTATATTTATTAAATATTCCTGCACCTATTAAATCCACATGTGGTTTTTCTTCTCTGATGACCCAATCAAACCATTTTCTATAGACTCCATATTCTATGGATGACATATTCCCACTAGTAATAAAAAAATTATATAGGAATGTTTAATGTTTTATGCATAATAGTATGCCAAAATCTAAAATGGCTTATGCTATATGTATTAGCTTTTAACTGTCTCAAGTGCACCTTTTATAAAGATTCTCTACAAAACAATAACCAGCACTATAAACACTTCTTTCCATCAACGTGACTGGTCGATTTTGTTTTCTTTTGTGAACTTCCAACATTGTAAGGAGGACATAAGATTGAAACAAATAACTCCATCTGCTTGGATCTTCATAAAATAAAGCCTAAAATGAACAGGAACATACTTTATAGTGCTTCAAGGAAGTCTATACTTTAAGTTTTGGTAAGTTCACCCACAGACTGGTAGCACTCTCCCCAAAGTAAAATCATCTGGTGTAAGACAGAGTAAAATAATAAAGCAGGGCACTTTGTCACTTAAAAGATTAATTAATCATTGCCTATAACAATTCTCACCAAAGTGTTTCCATCTCCCACATTTTGCCATTTGTCTACAGGTTCAGTTATTACCTAAATAAAGAATGTTACAGTAAGCAGGGTTCGTACATGTGAGGAAGAGTCAAATTCAAGGCCATGTATCATCAAATTGAAGGACGAAATACTGAAGAAAAGGGGTTAGAAATCAGTAAAATCTGACGTTGAATTGTTCAAAAGGCAACTTTAATGAGTTGCAAACAGCTTTGTCAGATACGAATATGCAAAATAAATTCAACATAATGTCCATTTTCAATGTCAAACAATTTCAGAAAATATCCAAAAACTTGAGCAAGAAAAATTCAAGGCCTTGAATTTGTTTTCAAATTCAAGGACATTCAAGGACTTTCAAGTTTTGGTAAATGTTACAGATGGAAATTTGGAGTGGAAACCTATACATGCTATACCACCCCCAGCCCTGTGATTCTGATGCAGCACCCTGATGACTGAGCTACAGAGTTCGGTTTCCAAGAGCTAACCAATTTGGCAAATGTCGGGCAAATTTTCAGCTACCCCCCTAATTATTTTCCTCAGGTACGCTATGCTACTTACTTCTACATGTGAATGTTTATTAAAATACTCGAGTAAAGTGGTTTTTCCACTGCCTATATTTCCTTCAATTGAAACCTTGATAAAGGAAAAAGATATTTAATATTAAAGAAAATGTAAATATCTTTTAAGTCAATTCTAAAATATAATGAGGCACAACTCACAAGTATGAATGGAATGTAGGTAATTTTTTTTATACTGCACCTTAACAGGTTTTAATTTTTTCCCATTACTTTTCATATCATTTTCATTATGTAACCAAGAACTTAGCAGATGACTTTTACCATTTCCTAACACTGAACAAAATAAGAATATACAATTTGTACAATCACCATACAGTATTCCCTGGCTGGGGAATAGTTAACAAAATTTTGTATTACAAAAAATGCCTTAATAGCCCCCAAGTTCTTAATTAAACAATTACCTAACATACACACACATAATATAACATCAAATTGAATACATACTCATTTGAAAAATGGTTTAAATTCGCTAAAAATCGTGGAGAAAATGAGTTCACTTCGGTGGTCGATGACTTCGTTAAATTGAATTTCCCTCCAAAAATTTATATTCCATATGCTTGAGCCCGCGAACGCCGCGAAAATGCGCAAATTGCTCACTAGGGAGGGGAGGGAGAGTGCAATAATAAGGTTGGAAAATGTAAACAAAAGCCGATACACTGAATCAGTATTTGTATTATAAATATTGCCATAAAATTTTGACTTTTGCATAGAATTCGACCTGAATTAGTAGGATTGAAATAACCCTGGCTACTTCTACCAGAAAACAAGTAATAGATTTCAATAAAGTATAAAGGATATTCATTTGATATTCACATTTAATATTTCATACCTTGCACTTTCGAAATAATTTCGCGAGAGCTTTGAAATATTTTTTTCCACAGTTTCATATACGTTCTTTAGCGAGTAAAATTTTGCCTTTTGTAACTAGCCTACAGAAACGAAGTTATGAATAATTGTGAAGATATAAGCATTTTTAGTGGTATGAATATTTGCAACATACATGCGTTCGAATTCTACAATATACCAAAAATTTAAAACTCACGTTCGTTTATATTTATACTGTATTAAAGTCGTCATAAACTTGAAGCTTTTTCTCAGAAAACGGGACGCGATGACGTGTTGACGTACAGCGCAAAAGTCGTGTTAGTCAAAGTTTTATGACTTTATGCCACAAAACATTACAACTGAAATTCAAGCCTTTTCACTGGCAAAATATCTAGTAGGTCCACTGTCCACAGAAGTGACAGAACCACAGTGACAGAACTGACATGTACAGGAGTTGCCATAGAAAATATGACAAAATCGCAGAGACTTGCCTGAACACGGCCGGGAAAGCGTGCGTGTTTCCACATGGAAAGCGTGCGTGTTTCCACATGTGGACTTGTAAGATTCCTAATCCTTTTTTTGTGTAGGTAGTGGCTGTAGCAGTGGGCTGTAGTGCCAACAAAAGTTTGTTCAAATTATCTTTTTAATATTGGACTATTCATTATATTAGAGTAGACTAGAGGGGCTGAGTACCAATAAGTACCATTAAGGGACCATTAACCAATCAGATGCGTTTGATATATCCGATGAACCAATCAGATGCGTGCTAAGCCAGTGAAAGGTAGTGGCAGGTAGTGGTCAAGAGTAGCAGTGCAATTTGCTTGTATCACTGACTGACAATCCGACATCAGGACCGACATATATAGTTCACAAATAATGACAAAGCTAAATAAATGAATAAACAGTAAATTGGGTTTATATGTATTAAATAGACATATTATGTTGCAAAAATATTTCACAGCCATGGGCTGTGCCACAGTATGTCAATAGTAATACTTGTTTCTGAATTTGTTAAATTTCCACAGCATCAAGGTTTTTCAGGTAGTGAAAAAAATTCCTTGATAAACGGAATTGTCGGAAAATTAGAACGCAACGTATTATATTTGGAACTTATATGAAGTATTGAACTTAGCGCTGACTCATAAAGCAACATGGCGAAAAATCAGAGAGTTGCTATTGTTTCATTTCAAGAGCATTTTAACAAAATTTTCAAAGTTTTTATTAAATTTGGCACGATAGAGCCTGTTGTTATTGCTTTAATATGCTGGATTATTGTCATAATTGGCTCATTGATTCACGATTTTCATCGGCCGCCCGAATTTTACTTGTCTGACAAGCGAAATATTTTTAACGCTCTGTTTGCAAAATGGTGCCTGGCATGGACCTTAGCGTTTCTAACGCCATATATGGGTTTAACCTACTTGGTGAAAAGTAAATACAACTTGAAATCGGTTTCCAAGAAGGTTTTACGGCTTGTTGTTGCTGTTACAATTTGGTTTGTGGTGACAACTGTTTTGGACTGGATAGAGAACTTGACAGGGGAATGTGAAGGAAGTGATTTATATTCAAAGAAGCAGGAGTGTTTCCGAGAAGGCTTAGTTTGGAACGGGATTGATATCTCTGGGCATTCATTCCTTTTGGCATACTGTACTCTTATAATTAGCGAAGAAGTCCAAGTCGTTAGATATTGGACTAACGAGAAGATCTATCCTAACGAGACTATTTATGCTAATGAGAAGAACAGTCCTAACAAGAACATTTATGGTGAGAGGATTCAAACTAACAAGCAAATTTACTCTAACGAGACATTTCAGTCAAAATCAAAGCAGGAGTTTGTTAGTGTTCGTTGTATTTGTATCGTGCTGTACATCTGTTGCTGTCTGCTGATGATGTTATGGGTGACGCTCCTTGTGTTTACAGCTGTCTATTTCCACACTACCAACAGCAAGATACTTGGGATTATTTTGGCTCTCTCTGCATGGATTCTTACGTATAAAGTCTACTTCTTATCAAAGTACTTTCCTGGTGCCGCTACAAGATTTTAACTGCTGTTTTGAGTTAAAGTTAGTAAGTTATTATCAGATTTTAATTTAAAATTCTAGTTTTTATCTTAAAGATGCGGTACAGTCCGTATGTAATCAACGGCTTTGTTTACATTTCGGTATTTCCCAAATATTGAATTTTATTTGACAACTATTTATATTTTCATGATTCTAGAGTATAATAAATTATCAAAACACAACAATCAAGCTTTGCAAGAACATAAAATGAAATAAAAACCTAAATAAACTGTTTGTATTAAGCTACGGATACACAGGCAATACTTTTCTGGCGATGTCAATGCAATAGTGGTAAAATCGTTGCATTGCCGTTGTGAGAAAGAAATTGCTTGTGTATCATGCTCTGCAACGGCAACGCAAAGCTGTGTGCAATCGTTGCCAAAATTTCAAATCATTTGATTTTCGGCAATGATTGCCGAAAATTAGGAGGTGTGGTCAAGGAAGGTCAAGGTTGATGAATAACACGTTTCTTGACCAGCCAATCTGAATGAAAAGCATTATGAAGACATATATTGCAGGTGAAATATTGCAGGTGTAGCCACCTTGTGCGACGGCAACGCAATGCTGTTATCACCCATTGCGTAACCATCGCAGCAAAAATATTGCTTGTGTATCCGAAGCTTAATAAAAAGAGGGCTCCTTTGTGCACATGCGCAGATAGGACTGTACCACATCTTTAAGCTTGATGTAGACTATCAAAGATTCTGTGATCATAGTAGCAACTTTGCATAGGTCGATTCTAAGTTTTGAAGGGTTTGTAAGAATTGTTTGAGGAAACTGACTCGTTATTAAACACTAAGTCAGTTCCCTCAAACATTTCTTATGAATTCTTCAAAACTTAGAATTTACCTATGCTAACTTCATACTGTGATAGTCTAAACCAGGCTTTACTGATGTCCAGTACAGCTGTAACCATAATAGATCATTGAGAAAAAGCAGAGTGGAAAAATTGTTGTCTTTGATACCGTATTTATTCTACCCAGTGCCATAGCCAGCCTGACAATTTAGTCTTGGTATGCAAATTCAAAATTATTATTCATTTCTTTAGAAATTGATTGTTTTCACAGTCAATGAACACAAAAATATTTGCATGGCGGGACTAAATCGTCTGGCTGGATACGCTACTGATTCTACCTAACACCAGATGATTTTACTCATTGGGTGAAAAAAATAAAAAAATTGGTCTCAAGTTTCATAGAGCTCTATGTTTTATAAGGATAGGTTGGTCGTAAAAACATTTTATTTCATAAATAATATTTCTTAGCATATACTCGGGAGGTGGATAGCGCTTTTCATGCAATTTTATTGGTTGCACAGCTACAGATATCCTTGCACTATTTACCTCCGGACAAAAAACAAAATTGCTTCCCGTTTCGTTCCGGTTACAGACGATCAAATTTCTTTTACTAAACGAATCTGCAGTTTCGCCAAACACGAAGAAAGCCACAAAGTTTTGTCCATTAATCCACAGTGTGCAGCCCAGATGCTATTTGCTATTTTACTTTGCTTGATTACAGATGATTTCACCTGTCTAGGGGGAAGTGCCCCACCCCCTTCCATTGTACTGTCCAGTATTTAATAGGTAGGCTTGGGTGTTTTTTTTTGGTTTTATTATTAAACTGGTTTTCGGTGGTTTAGCTTTTAGAAAACTGGAAAACCATCATCCTGACATATTTACTGTAATCGTCCGGTAATTTGACCATTTTAAGATACTCAACACTCAAACATGACATATTTTACTAGAAAAAATGTTGCACTTAACCAATCACTGCGCATCTAACAGTGTCAATCGTAGCCCACCCTTAATTTGGTGCTGAAAAATTATGACCCACCCTTTCAGAAAGGCTAAAGATACCATTCCATTTTTCTGTTGCCAATAGTTATTCAAATGGTGCAATTAAATACAGAAAGGTCTTTCTTTGTATGGAACTTCCCATGCATACTGATACTGCAATATTTTTCAGCTCATAATTAGAGAACTTGAGTTTGCCATTTACGGCTAATGCCAAACCGCTAACGATAATTGTGATTTAACTATGCTCTCATAGAAATTACACTAATTTTGTTACATAATAAACATCCTGCACAAATCTCATGACATTTAACAATAATATCAGAAAATTAGTTAGCCACTACTAACGTATAAGCCACAGTGGGGGACACTTTACAAAAATTTTTTTGGGAGGGTGGGGGCTCGTGCCAAAGGCACGGAAAATTTTTTAAATTTGAACCCCGGAAATGGCATTCTGAGAACACATTTTTTAAAAAACCATGAATTTTACAATACTACAAAAATACACATGCCCCTGAAAAAATTTCTGCATATTTTTACATGACCCACCCTTATGATTGCAATTAACTTTCGATGACCCACCCCTTCAACCATGCTCGAAAATAGTGACCCACCCCCCTATTTTTCCCAGCCACCCCCCTTTTACTTTATGACTGGTCCCTAACACTGCATGCAAATCAATTCCTTGACTTCCTTCACTCAGTTCGGAACTGAGACTGGTTTAGCATCCTAGTCCTTATTTAAATTCCGAACATTTGCATGCAGAGAAAAATACACAGATATAGCCTCCTCCACAGGCATCTTGTTGTTCACGTACTTCAGAAAGTCTGAGATTTTTCGCCTGCAAGAAATTTTGCCCGATAATCGAAAGGCGATGCCTGCGGAGGAGGCTAACACAGATAGTATAAAGTGAACACCAAACAAGAAGAATGCCTCTTTGTTGTGTCATGGAACTTTTGCATTTTGATCTTTTTCACATTTCCTAATTCATCAATTTTCATTTATCCAGGATATTTAAGACACATTTGAAACGGAAGAAGTTATTTCGCTGACCTCAGAATGACATTTCGTCAAAACTTTCTTCAAGATTGGTTTAGAAACAAACTTGGAGTAGGGTTAGGTTAGGGTAAGGATTAGGGTTAGAGTTGGTGTTTGGCATATAGGGTTAGTGTCAGTAAAACCGTTGCTTTGTTACGCAGGCCTTAAAATATCTTTTCCAGGCCCGTCTGACAAAATGTCCGATGACATTGAGTTTGGGTCGGACATATGTCCGATGACCTTCAGTTCAGTTTTGACTCGGAAATAAGTCTGAATGACACAAATATAAATATCAGCACAATGTATTAATTCTGAACGGTAAATGCAACTCGTACCCAGGAGCGTAGAGAAGAGAGCCTGGGTACGAGGTTGCGGTAAATGTTGTGAAGATATTAAATCATTTGTTTCTTTCATACTTATTTCCAAGCCAAAATTAACTTGCTTTCCAGAATAGCAGTATTAAAAAAGACTTCAACAACTTAAGCCCGTTTTCCACTTCATCATTTCGGTCGCCACCCCGCGCTCGACTACGTTAAAACAATATCTCCAGTTGACCTTCTATACAATAGTACTCAGATTTTCCATTTAACATACAAGCCTCTAGTCCTGGGCTGGGATACATTTTGATTTACGATGGACAAAGCTACAGTTCGGTCGCACACAAATACACTTAGGTCGGACAAACAATAAACCTCAGTTTCACTTTGGTCGGACAGAATGTCCGGTGGTTTCATCTCTACGTCGGACAATTTCACGAATGGGTCGGACAATGTCCGTGACCGACCGATATTTGAAGGCCTGTGTTACGTTTTGTCACTCTGAGGCCAGCGAAATAACCTCTTCCATTTGAAACAGCCTCCCCCGTAGGCCATAATGAATTCCCTAATTGTGTAAGGCAGAGTATGCCTGTTCGCAGATTGGAAATTCTGGGAAGTTTGAGGGATTTTTCCCGCCCACGTGTTCATTCCCTAATTATTTCCACTCGCGTGTTCACTCTCTAATAATTTCCGCCTGCAAAAGGGCCTGGGGAGGAGGTAGTTGAAACAGCAAAACACACTCTTTTTAGCAAACTTTGTTTATTTTACAAATATCTCTTATATTACAATATATTATCACCTAGAAGCGTTCGTGCTAGCATTATAAATAGTGCATTATATGTTGTAATATGTCTAGAATCATCCTATGTAATAGTTGATGTACAAAATTCACCGACTCATGCTTTACATGGGGTTTAACCCTTGACAATTTACAACCTATTGTGCATTTCCATATTTCGTATGGTTCTTAAAACGGCTTTTTTCTTTGACAAAGCAAAGTCACAGATTTTTCAGGGTTTTGTAAGATGATAGCTAAAATTCAAGCTAATTCTTTCGGTGAATGGCTTTCTGAATCAGAAGTGATGAATGTTTATGATTCGTTCTTTGAAAGGATTTTAAAGTGAGGAAACTAAGTCGTATCTTATAAGTTGCCACTTCATTTCTTATTTCACGACCAGCATATGAGTATGTCATTGTTCCTGACCTCCATCACCATTCGTCAGTCGTTCTTTCTCTCATCTGATTGGCTTGGCAGCTAGTTACCAGTCCATCACGCCTGTCTTGGGTGTCCGAGGAGTGCTGAGAGAATGGAAAATAAAGCTACAATGATTTTTATTGGCTAATTATTCGTTTTGAAATAAAGCATGGTTAAAATGAACTGAATCACGAAGCCCTACCGTACCATCAGGTTTATTGTCATCCCTCCATGCTCTTTGCTTCTCTTCAAATTCTGCTAGTTTTATTCTTGCTCGAGCCAGCGTCTCTCGCATGAGTTTGTCTTCAACCTGCGCTGTGGCTTCGTCGAATTCCAGACACCCAATACCATCTAGTCTGTGTAAGTCGAACCATCCTTTGAAAAACACGCATACTCCGTTCATAATGAATGAGCTTCGAATATGAACCTAAAATGACAAAAACAAATTTAATTACAAATTCATTTACTAAACTTTACTTATACGGGATAACTCTTGGAAAAACAGTTCCTAGAGATCCAGTGTAGGTCACAAACACACGTCCGCCGTACAGTAGATATACCCGTTTATAGTATTTTAAACTTTCTGTCCTGTTTTTTTTTGTGTTTTTTTTTTATAAAGTGCTCTTTATGAACGTAAAACCTCCAATATTCACGTAAAACACACAGTCTAAAGTATATGTATCCGTAGGCAAATTACGACAAACACCATAAAAGTTCAGCCGTTTATTTCAATATACGCTCTGTTTAAGAAGCTTCAAGAGAATGACGTTTTTCTATTGAATATCAAAGGTCATAATTTGAAACTACGTGTTTTTGTACGCAACACTATTCAATAAGTCATATTAGTCAACCAAGAAAGTGGTATCATTTTTGCTGAATCAATATACATGGCCTTTTGTCCCAAGTAACAAATAATATTAAATTAAGATACAAATTCAAAAAATTAAATATCAAGAGGTTGTCGACTGATTTGATTATAGCTTTCTTTGCAATGTTAATAGGCTATACTGTATAGCCCGTAGCACTAGCAGTCTACAAAGTCGCAATTTGTGACACGTGCCATTAAAATGTTACAAAGGCATAACATGATTGGATTATTATTATGATAATTATGAAAGATGATTATCAATATAGCAACGATACTACATGAATCATATGTAGCAACGATACTACATGAATCATATGTACTATTGATATTGTAGTGAATAATTATAAGATTTTCTATAACCCTCGATCATGGAAGAATTTGAATACAATTCTCTCATCTAACTACAACCGTTTGGTAGTCGGCAGTGTTACTAGGAGGTAGAGTGTTCCCTTTTGTAGTAACACTCCGTACTGGACAAGCAAGAGATTTTTAAAAGTAATTAAGAGATGGGCATTACTGCACGTATCGTGTAATCGGTATAAAACATTATATCGTCATATCAGTATTTGCATGCACACAATTTTTAAGTTTCCTTTGTTGCATTATGAACTTCGAACACCTGCTTCAGGATAGTTAAATATATCAGTGATATGAATCATATTCAACCATCTGCCTCCAAAACACCGTTATTAGTCAAGCAGCTGATTGCCTAAACTCGGCTAATAACTGACAACAATGTCACTGATGCGCATCACTGATTATCATAAAAATATCAAGTCAAGATTTATTATAAAGATAACGTTTTATACTGAGCGACACTATCATTTATCAGTCCTAAACTGTTCTCCATACTAGAGGTTTAGTAAACTATTTAAATTTTTTTTTGCTAGATCACATTACGTTCTCGATTGTTTACGAGTTTAACGCAAGTCATTCGAGATGACGTGCATTGCAAGCTTTTATCGCATCACAGCACTGTAGGCAATCTGGCTCCAACTGTTCCCCACAATCATGAATGATTTATTTCATTGATTATTTACGAAGCAACGCGTGCTTATACAATATACTGGAATTTTTCGATGGAAACGCAACAAATCTCGAGTATCTTCTTGACAAGGTCAAGCACTTGAATCAAGCAAGCGCAAAATAAATAACACGCTATTTTGCGTGTAGTATTAATGTATACTACCCACCTTTCCAGGTTCTTGTTCGAAGTTTATAAATGGAGTTGAGAGCATGTTATCAGGTTTTGGAAAAAACAAGCAGATGTTCGTTCCAGTTGCGACAAAGGACTAAATGAAAAAAGAAATTCACATCTTTAATATTAATGATCTCTGATTGAAAACAACAACTTGTCACTTGTGGCAAAAAAAAATTGCAAATATAATTTTTGACTTTTTTTACTCTAAAGACTATATTAGGTTTTTGTCAGAAGTCTTGTCTGTCCAAAAGAGGAAAAAGCCATATTGACCTCCAATTTGTAACTAGCATGACCTGTGTGTCACTGAATCTGGAAAAATCTAGCTATTACTAAAATTTTCAAATACTTTGAGAAGTGTACGTTCTGAAGCAATTTGACTATCTTTTAAATTATTCAGACCGTCTTGTATTGCTATTAGCATTGTCATGGAACAGAAAGTCTCAACGTTCTATATAAAATATATTCTCAATGTGTATGTTCAATTGTTATATATTATTCAAAAGATACATTAACAACTTAAAACTAATCCTGTTGGTAAAGAGAGAGAATTATTTCTCCTAATTCTATCTCAGAATATTCTTAACTCGTATATAAATCGCTTTTGAAGGGTTGGAATTTTTCTTCATATTACGAAATTGCGTTGCCCTTGAATGTAAAACAAATTAAATTGAATCCTTTCTGGATTTACGTTGGCGTTTAGTTCTCATGACAAAGTTTTAGCCCGCTCAATAACTGAAGATGATGTTCACCATGTGACTGAAGGCATTACACTATTTAACCATTTCTGCGTTCTGATTTTCTTTGGGGGGAGGGGGGATACGCCATTGGGCAGTGGGGAAATGCTTCAGCAACTGTTCAATAATCAGTTTGCTCAAGCCCAGTTCAAAACAAAAACTTATGTGTATTTTACGGGTCATATATTTTGCCACCGCCGACTTTTTAATGTTATTCTTTTTGTTCCGACGTGTTTGTCTAGCCACTTGGCTGGATTATAAAGCTTTCGTCCTCAGTGATTAACTACTCACAAGCTATGAGCTTTTTTTATATATAAGTTTGCATCAACTTTTAGCAAGTAGTTGCTGCTGCCCTAAATTTTCTGCGTTCAAAGCCAAACTAACGACAAGCTTTTAAAGTTTTCATATCTCGTTCCTCATTTATAAATTGCAACTTTTCCAATATTCCAAAACGACGATTTTCAATTAGAACGTTCTTCCCAATTAGAATACTTACGGCATTGATTCGGCCTTCTCTGCAATCGTTCTGAAAATGCTGTATACGTTCTGCTTGTGGTCTGTCTCTGTGCATCGTATATTTGATCTGCAAGAGAAACAAAGCTTATTCGCTCAGATCACTGTTGCATGAAGTGCTGTCAAAATGCCCTTTAAACCAGACAGAATCTAGCAAAAAAGCCTTTATGAAGCAATCAATGCGCATACACACCTCAGATTCTCGTGAAAGTTTCCGAAACAGTTCATCATTTTCGAATTTGCTTCGTTGATCAGGCACAACTCTCGGCATTTTAATTGTTTACAGTAAAAATACAAAATAAGAACTCTTCTCTCGATATTTCTGCCTTTGATACCTGCCCTTCCTGTGTGTTGTTCGTGCCGGTTCCTGCAAGCTTCTAATACCAGTCGACCTTGATCTCGCACTTATATGCAATTTCAAAGCAACCTTGAAAACGCGATATGATTGGTCGTCATCAGCAGGTCATCAGCCTTCTCAAGCGTGAAATTGCGAAATCATATGACGTCATGTATAGTTCCCGAACAAAGTTCGTGCCTCACACCGAGTTCCGACGTCAATACGTTCAAGCACGAAGAAGGGACCGAAGGTAACGAAGGTTGTAGAATGTTCTCAGAGTGTTCTAGAATGTCGTAAAACATGGAGGTTGCGTTGGAGAACCGTTTCAGATGTTTCTCGAATGTTTTATTTTAGTTCCAAGGGTTTAGCCCTCTTTCAGTATATTTTTAGCTCTATTTGGGTTATTTTAAATCAAAATAAATGCATAGACATACCGAAGACATAGGTGTATTGCATTCGTATACACATTTTTATATGTTTTGAATGTGTTGAACAACACTGTTGTTTATAAACTTGGTCATATCGGCAGACATTGGCATAGCCCATAGGTTAGATTAAATTAGCTTTATTCTGTAGTCATTGGTCAACAAATTATAGTAATCATTACCGATTGAATACAGTATCTGACCACAAAATTTTAAATAGCTATATCATGCTGTACAGTTTTATATTACATATCACGTAGCTAGGGGTAATCTTATGACGATTTCGGATTAATAAATATTGCAGTAAAAACACTTGAATTCGCTTCTGCAAAAGCTGGTAGGCACGCTTTGAACAAAACTAACTCCAAAGAAAAACTAGTCAATTTTTGTTGCAAAATGCAAAGATTATTGATGTATATAAAAAAATAAATAACAACATATAATATAATTAAACTGTTTATAATTGGCAAAGTTATTACATAGTCACCACCTTTATACCCTGGAACCAGAGGTTTTTAGGTTTGGCAAACGCGAACTACCACCTTTATTACAGTAATGTCAAATTTTCACTTCCGGCTTTTAATAATATTTTGTTTTGATTTTCTGACTGCAGCATGGCTATAGAATATAACTTTTTTATCTTCCATTCAATGAATATGCTAATCCCAGGTGGTTTAAACATAAAGGTCAAGAAATTTAGCAGATTTTTAAAGATTTTTAGAAACATTTTCCGCTCTTTTGAAATTCAGTAAAATAAATCTGTCGGTGAAACGGAAGTGGCAATGCTACCAATGCAGGAATGGCGAACGTGACCGATTTCATCAGAATTTCGCAGAAACGATTTTTCTAGAGCTTGCTTGCGAAAGTCGAAGCGAAAGTGATGCGATGCAAACGAAAGCGAATCGTTTTGCTTGCTTTGGGGCTGCTTTTAGTATTCATTCTATTCTCTATTAAGAAAAATCTCTCCGAGTCCATATATGAAACAATTAGTAGCCTGGTTTGCGACGAAAAGCGTGGAAAAGCCGTACTTCGCGAACTGGTACAGTATTTATTAATTATGTTATTTCCGGGCATATAAAATATAATATTAGAATGTTTATAAATATACCGATATATTCGCAAATGTTAACATAGCGTGCATTTGGACAAGTGTAGCACTTTGTGTGGTTAATTAGTTCAATATTGAATATTATCAAATTAATGGTAAACAATATAGAGTGTGATTGCACTAGCTCTTGCACCATTGGCCTCGTTTCCATGTGGTTATTTTCTTATGTTTCGTGCACAGAGGTTTAAAGGATATAGACTTGTGATTGGGATGAAGATCAACAAGAAACATATATCTGCATGAACTGTGGGATTTCACCTGGCCACATGCACCAGGCAAACATGAAAATGAGGCTGTGTGGCAAAAGTGTAACAAACTATACTGAAACATCAACAATTAACTTCTCTCACACCATACAATCGTCTGACTACAGAATTAAGATATCTGGAAATGTGTGACTTCGTGGCAATTTTTGGCATGTGTGGGTTTGTGGGACCAAAATTTTAATGTGTGACTTTGTTTCATGCCAAATGTGTATATGACTGTTTCATGCCAAATGTGTATATGACCCTAACTGTCCTGCTAATCTAGCTAGTTCATTTTGATGGCTTGTCTAATCATGCTTACTTTAAACCGGATGATCCCTCATCAGATCGATGATCTGTGACATCACTTTGGTATAAAATTGGCCAGACTCTGTTAAAATATAGGCATTAAGTTCATATAAGCATTACATTCACACTTACATTCACACTTACATTCACACTTAGCTCCATACAGACGAGCAAGTTTTCCTTGTTCAAAAGCTGCAATTGACTAATTTTTCAACATTATAGGCTTCTTGTCAAAGAAGATATTGCATGTCAATTTTTCCCATACATGTGAACAAGAGTAAGTTAATTAAGGAAAACTTGTCAAAGAAACTTACTTGTCTGTAGTTGAGCTTTAAAATAAGAGATCATGCAGCTAAAAGTTTAAATGGTACCTGGTGCACCTTTATTATTTTATTCTGTCCCAGAGTAAGTAAGGTGTGTCATTTTGTGTATTATGTTCTAGTGCCAATCATATTATGAAGGCAAAATAACAGGCAATCTCTGTGCAGATCTCTGCAAGACGGGTCAACTGACTATTGAACAATGCCTATCACACAAGAATGACAATGTTATATTCTCGGCAAAATGGAGGCAACAAAACATAATTTTAAAAGCAAAGAAGATGTCATCCTACAACTCTTGGGAAGACGTTTTTCCAGGTAGGAAACTTAAAGAATATACATCTGCTAGAACACACTGTTTGAAATGTACATATCATATGGAATTTGCCTGAATCGTGGTATTTGGTGGTTGTGGTGATTGACCAGTCAATAATGTGTTTTCCACTGTGATGTATCATATGCATTGATAGTTGATAGCATGCCTAAACAGCAGTAGCCAGCTAGGTCATTTTATTACTTGTATATACAGCACAAAAATATATCTAGCACCACAATGTGGTGATGGACAGATGCCCCTCCCCCTGCAAAAGGGAGATCGAGCCCTGCAGATTGCATGCTAGCCCAAAGGGTCCAACATCGGGTTCCAAAGCCGGTGCATAATCATGCTCACCACAAGTAAATTGGGGTTGCATTACTTAAATATAATGTCATGCAAAAATAGTTCTTGTATATAAATTTAATTAAAACTGTTTTTATTTTAGACAGTGCTCGTCTGGAGTTAGCTGATCTTCAACATGACTTTCTTACTGCAGTATATGACCACATTGTTTCACAGCTTTTTCACTTCAAAGACATTAAGAGCAATACCTTAAAAAAACTATCACCAAATAAGTTGCTGGCACAACTTTATTTTAATGGATCTGTAACTAGCCTTGCACGAAACCAAATGCAAAGCCTTTGGCAGTTGCTACGACAGGATGAATTTTATCTTATGCAACTCTTAAAAGATTTTAAACACATTCCCACAATTTATGGAACCTGTGGAAAATTCTATGCTTTGGAAAAAGTTAAAACATTAATTGACTTTGTTGGAGTTGGGTTAATTTCAGCACCTGTAACTTGGAGAGTCCGTGTTCAACTTGCATTAGATCTTATGGACCTTATTCAGGAACTTGACTCAAAATCATTCTATGGTTTTAGCTGGCAACACTGTGATATACAGCCCAGCAATTTTGGTGTAAATAATGCAGGGACAATAAAATCAATTGATGTGGACTTGATGTATACAAATGAAAAGATATTAGAGATACTGGGTCAACAGCTTGGTAATTGCTCATCACATAAAGATTGTGAGTTTTTTGACTGTACATCACTGTGTAATTTGGAAAGCAAAAAGTGTATGTCATTCAAGATTTCCAATAATTTACAGGTATGTATAATTAGGTGGAAATTACCAGTGGTGGATCCAGCAAGGTTTTTTAGCAGCATGCTGGGCGAGACTAGCCAAACACACCGAACCCAGCACTGGACAGCAGTGTACTGTCATAAAAATACACCTTGTAGTTTCTTGGTTACAATTTACGATAACCATAACGAAGACTGATAACGAACTTTGAATACCTCAAATATTTAAAACTAAGATAAAGCACCCCCACCCCCTTTGCACCCCAGTTGATCAAGCCCAACAGGGGTGCACACACCTGTCCACTGCCCCCCCCCCCCCCCCCACCACTGGAATTACCATTTCTAATAAATGTAAATTGAAAATGATTTCTTAATAGTATTGTTCTTCTTTTCATCTCAGGTAGCTTGCAGAGATCTGCTTCAATCAAAGTGGTATGAAAGTGGCTTGCTTGCTGGCATTCCTTCACAAAGTGCAACAAAATTTAATAAAATACTGGATGAATGCGCAGCAACATCAACCACGCCTTGGACAAAACGCAAGTACAACAGGATATTCAATACACTTAAACGTTATCTTTTGGAAGAGCAAGAAGCCAGCATGACTTTGTAAAAACTGGCGTTATTATTTATAAGGTAATTCTGTAATATAATAATATAAGACATATTATGTAAAATTGTAAATATATTGTTTTTAATGCCATGCAGGACAAGCTAGGAGTTTAAAGTTTTTTTCTGAAACATTGTTTCCTAGCGAATGTTTCCCAAAGGTAAACCAGGAAATATTGTTTCCTATCCATGTTTATGGAAGGTAAATAATAACTAATTGGAGATTCCATTTGTCAAAAATATTTGCCAAATGTAGACTGTGGCGGTAAGCTTACTCGCAATAAACAATATAACCCTTTGGAGAGTAATGGAAAATGCCAATTTTTCAGTTCTCAGCTGATCGCGTGTTATTATAAATCGCAGGTTATGCATGCAGTGAACTTTAATAGCAAACAAGCAACTGACACGAAGCAAACACGCAACTGACACGAAGCAAACACGCAGCTTATGTTAATGAGTTATCTGGTTAAACTAGTTTGTTGGTACATTATGGCACTCCCTCGATAAAACAGCTCCGTAAAAAAGTTGCAAACTAATTTCTGGCAATAGATTAAAGCCTACTTCTATTAACTGTGATTAAAGTTAGTAATTTCTGGGAACTATGTATGTCATACAGGAAGCAGGCACACAAAAGAATGTGACACTGTCAACACTTTAAAGGTTCCGGTGTTAGTTTAACATATCGGGTTACTGTCTGGCACGAGACAACAGAAAAGTACCTTTGTAGACTTCATAAAATTGGTTTTTACATACAATTGTGTGCGCAAAAGGGTAAAGACTTAAAGTATAATGGATGTCACATGGTATAGCTACTTAATTCCATTTTTGACTCTTTATTTTACATCGAATGGTCAAACAAGTGCCGAGAAATTGTCAAAATCACGAGATGGCCAATCTGCTAAACAGCCTAAACCGAAGCTACTATTGATTTCGTTGGCGGGGTTTCGAGGGGATTATATCACAAGAATAAATTGTTCAAACTTACAACAGTTCGTAGCGGACGGTACCTCGGCTAGCTATGTACAAAACTCAATAAATGTCGCCAGTATTGCTAACCATTATACCATAGCTACAGGGTTGTATTCTGAAAGTCATGGTATTATAGCGAATACTATGTTTGACCCGAAGTTAAACCGTGTTTTTAATAGCAAAACACGTGCAGACCCTGAGTGGTGGACCAATGTGCATCCGATCTGGCAAGAAATTGGAAAACAAGGGCAGGGGCTAAGTGCTTTGTGTCACTGGCCTGGCGTGTACGGACCAATGGTTTCTAGATTACAATGTGGGCGAAGAAAATCCTCCAAATCTGACATCGATCAAGCGCTGCAGTGGCTTAAGAATGGTGTTAAATTAGTATTACTCTACTCAGATGGCATTAAAAAGGCTGCCTTGAAGTGGGGACCGTATTCGCTACAAGCAATCAATGAAGTTAAAAAATTTGATTCGATCTTGAAATATCTGATGGAAAAAACACGCGAGCTGAATGTAAATATCGTGCTGACGTCAGATGGCGGGGTCACTGATCTCAAGTGGGATCATGTGATAGACCTAGACCGATGTATTGTCCCTTCGTCGTACGTCTTGATTCAAGCCCAGGCCACACTCCTTCTCTACCCTAAACAAGGGTATACTGCAGTGGAAATTCATAAAAACCTCACGAAATGTACTCATATCAAAACCTATTTGAAGGAAAATTTGCCTTCACATTTTCATTTTACTCACAATCTGAGAATTCCGCCCGTGATCGCCTTCGTTCCGCTGGGCTCCGTCGTACGCTCGGGTAAGTCCGTGCATCGGAATATTAACGAGATTCTTAATGGATCATTAGGGTTTCAAAAGGATATGGGTGGTAGTGGGTTCCATCCGGGCTACGAAGTTATGAGAGGAGTGTTTTATGCAGATGGTCCGTCTTTTCGATCTGGTCTTAAATATGGTGCGATTAATAACACAGATATATACGGACTAATGTGTACTATTCTAAATATAACACCCCGTCCTAGTAATGCATCGTTTGCTGTTGTTAAATCCATGCTAAAGAGTACTAACTTTGGAGTTAATCCAAACACGTCTCCCACAAGAAAAAACCGGCCCATTGCCACATTCCCACCTACGAAACGGATAAAAGGGTACTCCCGAAATCATGGCCTTTTAGGGGATTTAGAATTACGCGGTTTTCTCATATTTGTGGCGTGTTGTGTAGGATTAATGATCTTGCTTTGTTGTATCGGTTGTCTCTACTCAATGACAAAAAACATGCAAGGAGAGTTCAAGGGGAAAGCCTCAGTTTATCCGCCATTGTTAAGCACAGATTTGACATCGTCTGACGAAGATTATTAAGTCATTAGGATGCGCTAATGAGTTCATTAGGATACGCTAATTGGTCGATTAGCAAGCGCTAATTGGTTTAATAAAATAGTAGGTATGCAGTAGATTTAAAACACGATATTCTATTGATCACAGCACTATGACGTATTGTCTAATAAATTATAGCACGAATGAGCCTTTGGATAACGCTTAGAATGGTCTCACAACTCGGTGGTTCCATTGTCTTTTCATTGTTTTGAAAATCGTACTGTTCTTCATCTCACCCAGTTATGATCCAGTGATCAGAATGTTCCATGGTCTTTTCATTGATATTGTTCCATTCTGACATTGTATTAAAAGTTACCACTGTCCATATTCAATCACTCTATTCTGTGCTATCACTGACTATTATTTCGACATATTTGTGAAACGTTTTGGATTGGACTTCATTCCGATTTAGAGCTACATGCGCTTACTGCAAGTAAATAGAACCCATACTGTCCTTTCTTTCGTTCTCGTTAAAATAGCATCTCCAACAGAGGGTTTTTTTAAAAAGTCAATCCGCCATAGCACAAATTTGTCTTGATGATTTATCACATGAAGAGTAAGTCATATAAAAAGACGTAAATACACCTTAAATTAGTCTCTATTAAGTATGGTTAGTTACACAGTATGTAGAAACTTTATTACTGTAATGTGTCAAACTTGTAATAACTGAAATCACTTTCAAATACTGTCTTTAAAGTTAACGGGCAACGATGTTATATCATGACTATAAATACAAGCACATGTTCTTGTTTTAAAAATAATTCCATAAGTCATTCTTAATGCAGCAGACGGTGGCCAACCGCCACTTCAGCAAAATGAGAAAATAATTTCAATTCCTTTCATTGTATTCAGAGATAAATAAAATAAAGAAGTTGAAGTTACTATTTTGTCTCTTTTCTGTCACTGTCATTGTTAACATCAGGGTGTTAGCCAGAAAAAAAGTTTTGTCCGTTAAACGTAAACTGGGAAAGTTTTTTTGACCGATCAAAGTCCTTGTGTAGGAATAAATAGTGTTTTTTTCCAACGTGTTTCTCCTTAGATGCAAACAACGGTAGCTTGGTTTTGTACATTTCGTTTCCGGTGAATGAACACTGAAAAATACGGATGCACACCGATTACACTTTGTTTTGTACATTTCATTTCAGTGAACACACACCCAATATAAATGAAACGCGATACATTTTGAGAAAATAGTTAATGGGAAAAAGTAAATAAAACGTTCTTTGATAAAATAATATAAAATCAAACGCAATGCACTTTCTCATCAGAAAAAATTAAAATCTTTCAGTAGACCCAGTTGGGAAAGCCCCTTAGCCACTACAATGGACCTTTCACCTTTTGACTAAAATTTAGATCTCAACAAGTCTAGACAAAAATTTTATCACAGCTTGAAAGAGCATCACAAAATTAGTAATATTCCAAAGTTTCGTTTCGAAATGTTGTAAAATGCGGAAAATATAGCCTTGCGAAGTTTGCCGTTTTTCAGTCATTTTAGATTACAAACGGGAAATACATACTCAGGAGTATGTATTTCCAGTTTGTAATACAAAATGACTGAAAATTGCAAACTTCGCAAAGCTATATTTTCCGCATTTTGCAACGAAACTTTGGAATATTACTAATTTTGTGATGCTCTTTCAAGCTATGATAAAATTTTGTCTAGACTTGTTGAGATCTAAATTTTGGTCAAAAGGTGAAAGGTCCATTGGGCATCATCTGCTGCATGGTAACGGCCCTGTCAAACGAGGATCAGAGTTGCAACTCGGTCGCGTTTGATCATGGTCCATCAAGACATGATGGTCTGGAAACCCGGCAAACTTCAAAGCTACAAAATAGAAGGCGTTTGTTTTATGTTGAACTGTACCTCATGCAGTACGTACGCGTGCACAAATCCTTTGTCTCAACTTCATTAAATAATATCCATCGTGGTTGTACGTTTCATCTCAGCTATCTCTCTTGGACGATTACTTCATTATAAGAAAATGCAATGAGCTTATCACTGACCGTGCACAAATTAACAAACTCAGACAAAAACGTAATACAGTGACTTCTGTTTCCAGACCATCATATCTCTTGATCATAGATATCTTATATACACTAGATAGTGCATCTAATTATTCTGCAATTCAAAAATTGAAGCCGTGATTGCAGTCTCAGGTCGTTCCCATGAAATGAGAAGATTCGTATGTTTTCTATTTCTTAAACAGGGAACTTAAACATTAAGTTAATCCTATTGCAAATACGTTTTTAAACTATTCAAATGATGAAAGTTATTATTGTTTTTAAGCGTTTATTAGCAAGTGGAAACGACCAACATGGCCGCCATCTATTCAAATGGGGGTAACCGCTGGATTGTTTTTGGCTTTAATTTTACTAAAAGAGATGCGCTATCTAGTGTATATAAAATATCTATGCTCTTGATATACTATGGTTTGGCCGCCAACTCATCTACTCTCATATCATGCACTCTCATCAACTTTGGGCTGGTTCGAATTTTGATGAGAGTTGATGGGCGTTTCCGTTACGCGAGAGATAATATCCACTGCAACTCTTATGCAACTCTTGTTCTTGTGTGACTGGGACATGAGAGTTGAGAAAACTCTCATGCAAACCGTCTCATCAACTCTCATTCTTGTTTGATCATTGCTTTACTGAGGGCCTTATCATACGAGTCCGGCTAGCTAGACGGGCTACTGGCCAAGGTAAAACAATTATTTCTGCGCTCACATGATCTTTCTCGTTGTGGTAACATGTGGTATTAGGGGTGGACCATTAGATACCCAGGGAGGAGATATTTTCTTTGCAAACTAATTTTTTATAGGTTTGGAGCTTTGTCGAACCTTTTTACGAAGTAGAAGCTGTGCTTGAATTTTTCCTATATATTTCTGTATAATTTATGTAGTTCTCCTTTCCCTGAATACTTGCATAATATTTTTTTTTTCAAATTCCATTTTTTATTGGGATCTCCCCTCACAACTGAAATAGTATTTGCATGTCTAAGTTAATTTATCTATCTATCTAACACAAATACAGGTACGTGCAAATCAGCGAAAAATCATTTTATCGAGGTTCATATAGAAAATCTTATCCCATGCACTTGGGTGAGATCACCTACACACACGTAAGAACGCACAACTTGTAACAAACTTGCAGCAGTCTTGTACTAATGCTATTTCAACAACTTGTTATCAGGATGTGTTCGCACTGCAATAAGTTCCGACAGCTTGTTGAAGTTGTTAGCCATTTGTTGACAACTTGCTACAAGGATTTTCCCAGCCAATGAATGTATAAGCATGATGGCAAAGTAAATAAATAGGTTGATACTGCATGACTCGACAGACGTGTTACAAGTTGTCCGTACAACTTCTATCAGTAGAGAGTTTGAGCAAGACAACGAAGTCGGACGTCGACGACGACGTGGTTGACAATTTTTGCCTGTCTTGCACATTACCTTGCGCATTCTGAGTTTAGGGTCAGGAGTGAAGACAGATTGGAGATTCATGTCTAGCTGTTTGTGAATGCTGACCCAAATCCTTACCCTGATCAGGATAAAACAGCGAGACATGAATCCATATCCTGTCTTCGTCTTCTGCCTTCGTTCACAACGAATATTTTGGCAAAATTAGTTGTGAACTTCGTTCTGCACGAAGGCAGAAGGACAAAGACGGGATATAGTTTCATGTCTCGCTGTTTTTTTCTGGATCAGGGCAAGAATTATGGTCAGTATTCATAAACAGCGACACATGGGAAGACACGTTGTGCAACCACCAGTGACGTCCAACTCAGTATGCGCAAGATAATGTACAGACGGCAAAAATTGTCAAGTATGCCTTCGTCTTCGTACTTCTTTGTCTTGCTCAAACTCTCTAGTGCTGGAAAATGTCCGACAGCACCAGCAGCACCAGAAACTTTTTAACAAAATCTCTTCGCAGGAAATTTCGTACCTCGTGCAGGAAATTTTTGTCAGCTTAAAGGAGATTGGCAACAAAAATTGCTTCATCTATCTTATTGCTTCATCTGAAAGAGCATGAAAAAATAAGCCGATTGGCCGTTTAATGCTCTATTCTATCTCATCTAGTTCCGAAGTTATACGCAAAAATGTAAAAATATAAATTGCTGATTCAGCACAACGTGTGACGTCATTAGCTGGGTAAGTATGTTTATTGAATACTACACTGAAGCATAGCTCAGTTATTATGAGCCCAAATCAAATGAAATTTTGCATACTGATTGTACATGATGAGACGCATGGAAAAACACTTCTAATTTTGTTGCCAAGGTAACAATGTCGTTTCCAGGCCCCTTGCGCCAATTTTATGAAACAGCTTTATTCAAGGTACTGATAAGAATAAAATAATATCAGAAGTATGTGTATGATACCTATGCATGCCAAAAGTTTACTTGCATGATAATAATTCGAAAATGACATACACATAGATAAATGCAACTAGTTATTCAAAATCAGTGTAAGAGGCCTGGGAACGACTGTGTTGCCTTGACAACGAAATTAGAAGTATTTTTCCCATGCATCTCATCATGTACTATCTGTATGCAAAATTTCATTTGATTTGAGCTAATAATAACTCAGCTATGCTTTAGTTTACTATTCAATAAACATACTTACCCAGCTTATGACGTCACAGAATGTGCTGAATCAGCAATTTATATTTTGCACATTTTTGCGTATAACTTCGGAACCAGATGAGATAGAATAGAGCAGTAAACGGCCAGTCGGCTTATTTTTTCATGCTCCTTCAGATGAAGCAATAAAATCAATACAATTTTTTGTTGCCAATACCCTTTAAGTACTAGAATGCCATATAATTAATGTTTACGAAAGCGTTTTGCAAGTCGAGATTGTCTTGTGCCGAGATTAAAGTTTATCACAATGTGCAGCACCATACGTTCTCTGAAATCTACACATGCAGGAAGTTTTACATTTCACTTTATACACAGGTTTTGTTTGGGTTTTGCTGCCAGGAAGAGAAATGTATTTTCTAAGCCTGCTTGCTATAGTCCTGCAAATTCAACAAGCAACTTGTTCACAAGTTGGGAGTGAATACCTTGATAAAAGGTATGTGGGCAGCTTGGTAAAAGGACAATATTGTTACAACTTGTTGATAAGATTGCTAGTTTGCTACAAGTCTGTAGCCAACACATCTTGTTGACACGTGAGATTTTTACGTGTGTAGAGCGAGGAGCTCGTCCATCATGTGCATAACGCACAATTATTATTAACAATGCATGGCATGCTCTCACTCAGGCGAGTTCCCTGGCTAGCTAGGCTCGTATGAACTAGCCCTGAAATACAACTCCAACCCTAAGTAATTCATTTTTGTTGGAGTTATAACTAATATAAGTGGTGCAAGACGGTCATCATAAGTGTCGACTTCGAACCACTTGGGGTTCAAAGCATTCTTACACGGCCCAAGTTTCTACATTGTTTCTTTTATACTAAATGTAAATATACTATACAAACTACAATGGATCGCTATACAAAACTCATTTAATATCCTTGATAACTCAGTTGACTGTGTTTTTTTTTATCATTCGTAATTCAATATTACCAATTCAATATTACCTTGATATATCGTTATTCTTCATCAATCATTCCACATTTTAAAACCATCCAACCTAATTTTTTCACTGTTACGAACGGTTGACTGTTCAATCATCTAAAATATAAAATAACGATAAATATTATTTTTATCTACTTTGCAATTGTGTTCAAATCGTTTGTTGTTGCAACCTACAGCAATTCTGTTGTCACAATTATATATATATACTGTTACATGCAATCCAAATGGCAGTTCATTTTTAAATCGGGCAGGTTATACTGAAAAATCGGGCAATTGTACGCCTAAAAATCGGGCAGATTTGATTAAAAATTGTGCAAAAAATTATAGACGTTTTCGGGTCGGTTGGGCAAATTCCATCAAGGTCCAGAAAATTTATGTTCGCCCCCCCCCCACTCCCGCCCGTATGCCTATGGCGCAGTTCATTTGGTTAGCATACCTTGTACTATCTTTCTATCTTCGAAGTCGCCTAAGTTGTTCTGGATCGTAATTCAACAGATTTGCTCGATTTGACCATGCAGCATGAGTTGCTCCGTCCATTTCTGATGCCAGTTGATTACTTTCAACTAACGTATGATTTGTCCCACCTATCACCTCCTGACACACTGGGCATTTGCTGGTCTGCGTTGCTCCCCCGCATTCCGTAATAACGTAAATATGATCGTTGGGACATTTGAACCAATGACCAGCTTGCGAAAAGTTGAAGGCCTTGTTAATATCATCGCGTTCCTTTGGAGTAAGGTGAGTGATTCCGACTTCTCGACTCACATTTTCTATCACACTAGCGACCACAGCTCGTTCTTCATCGGTTATCTCTAAGGCAGTGTCAACGGCGATGTGCTGACGTGACATGATATTCTTGGCAGACTCGATGCTTGATTTGATTTCCTCTGATAGAGCCGAGTTCTTATCATCTTTCTCTATTTTCCAAATCATGTACTCGAACTGACAACTGAGAGAGAGAAAAGCTATATTCTCCGAGATATCCTTGACTTCTTGATTACTTAGCAATGTCCGGTGATGCAGAAATAAACGAATTTGCTTCTTCTTACTCGGAAGCTTTGATGATCGTGCAACAAAATCTGCCATTTCTGGACCCGTGAAGAACATTTCATCAATTTCACGAAGACGTGAAAAAAACTTGAGTTGATTTTCTAACGTGTTGTAGGCGTCTGCGTCAGAGCGCATTTGGTTAACTCGAATTAATAGTAGACGATAGTCGACAAGCTTCGGATACTTCTTCGTTAGTTCGTGGACGCTTTGTCTTAATTGGGATAGTTTTTCTCGTAGTTGTCTCTGTTCTTCCAATTTTATCTTTTTAACATTTTCAATATTAGCCAAAGTTTTCTTGATGATGTTTCCATATCTTAGACTCCGTCTTATCACAGTCTTACACTTGGGGCAAACTTTGAGTTGAATTACAATACTTCCGTCCTCTTTCTTTCCTTCTAATTCCATCCAGTGATCGAGGTCACTCACTTCAAAGACATGTCCGCAGTCTACCAGTTCGATGTACAAAGCATCCGGTTCGTCTTCGTTACCGAGAAAGATTGTCTGTAGTTCCTCCTTATCGCAAATACGACACAGCCGTGGGCAGAAGTCTCCACAAACACCGACGCATTGATGACCACATTCCAATGGTATAGGGCATGGCTCGTTGCATTTCTCCCGATCACATATTTCACCACATCGTTTGGTGCACTCATGATGTTCACATTTCCACATACAGAGCTCTCTACATGGTGTGCAGGGTTTATCACAGGGCCTTGGGCAATAACTATGGTTGCAACGATTTTCGCAAGGCATTTCACACGGAGGACAATTCTTTGTACATGGTTCTTTACATTCATGAGAACATACAAGTAGACGTTTACATGGTTCTTCACACTTCACGTGAAGGTTTCCTTTGTGACAGCGTGAGCAATTCCCTCGACACTTATGACCGCAGTCGAGCAATTTTTCGCATGATTCACTGCATTCATAATTCTGAACATCAGTTGAACAAGGCATGGACACTGTATGACCACATTTTAGAATACGAGTGATTTCCATCTGACATGGGAATGAATTACAATCTTCTCCGCATTTCCCGGCACAGCGGTGACCACAAGGAAGATCATTCGTACAAGGAATCGGACATTTAATTTTTCCACGTTGGAAACATTCAATCTGTATCTCGTGGTTGCAGGAAGGAACGACATAGGAAACCATTTCCTTGCATGGTTCGCAGTCTTCACCAAAATGACATAGTTTTCTACAACGATGTTTTAAGTCGCATAACTCTTCAAGACACTTCTCGGTGCAGCGATACTTTTCGTGTTTAGGGTCGACAGGATGGCAATGCAAGGAGCAAGCGTGTCCACAGGGTAGCCGGAATCCACAAGGAGACATGCACCCACCTTGTGGCGCTTTCTTAAAATCTTCGGCCGATGAAGCTTCAATCTTCTTTTCGGGATGCTTTGGACAACATAAAGGCAATGAGATTCCAATCACAGATTTGTTATGCAAATGGTTCTTGATCTTATTCCATAGCTTATTCTTCGTTGCCATCATTGAAATATTACCAATACAATACAATGCCTTTTTCGCTCTTGACAAAGCAACGCAAACACGGTTTGGTATATTTAGGAAACCAATGATTCCATTCTTGTTACTCCTGACCAATGACAATATGATAATGTCGCTTTCTTCGCCTTGGAAGTTATCTACAGAACTGATACGAATACCATCGAAAGAATCTTTTGGCATACGATGCTGTAACTTTAACAACTGCCCAGTATACATTGTTAACACGGTGATACTGTCGCCTTGATAGCCTTGTAACAGGAGATACCTACATAGTGCAGTCACGAAATCGACTTCGTGTTGGTTGGAAGGGCTTTTTAATTCATCATTCCCACTTTCTGGTTTCTGGTGGTCGATGAAATACACGTTGTGTTGAATACCGGTTATACTGTCGTAACGTTGCACTGACACATCATCATCCAATTTAGGATAAATAATACGCATTATGTCAGCAATCTCCGGTCTCATGCGATGCTGGGTACTTAACGAATGACACGTGAAGCCGTTGTTGACCATTCGTTCAAACAGAGAAACATCTAAGTTGTAATGTTTAGCAAGTTCATAAACGGCTGGATTCGGTTTGAGCTGCTTGTGGTCTCCGATTAATATCAAATGATCTGTGCCACTGGAGAGCGCTGTTATCACATGACCCTCGAGTACTTCGGCTGCTTCTTCAACTATCACAATCCTTGGTTTAATTTCTTGCAAGGTAAGGCGGTGTTTTGCCGCTCCAGTGGTTGTCATGCCAATCACGTCGACATTCTTTAAGATTCCTTCCACTTGAATACTTTCAATCTCAGATATCTGCTGCAATGTGTCGTCGTGTGTCTTTCGCAAACTCTCGATCTTTTCTTTGTGATGCTTAAAATACCTCTCAACCCATTCTTGGTAAAGGTTTGAGCGCTGGTCTTCCAAAAGTACTTTAAGATCAACTTGATATGTTTGTTCATTGCTTTGATTCTGAGCATCAGACAATGTAATTTCTTCGCCAACACCAGGATTTGGCTCCACGCTTCCTTTAGTATTCTCATTGCCTCTTCTAATAAGATTAATCCCTTCTTCTATGATTGTTGTGAGGTCAATACCACCATCACCATCGTTTGAAGTGTCATCGCTATCAGACATGTCATCAATGGTGTCGAATATTTCTCCTTCCTCAGCATCTTCAGTAAAGGTGTCATTTGGTTTGTCAGAATTCCCGGCCCTAGAGCTCTCATCTACTTTATTCCATTCGTTCGAATGTTTCTTATTGAGCACATCGTCGTCTTCGTTATGTTTATTGTCTACAAGTACTAATTCTTTATGGTTTGCCTTGCTAGTTATCCTTCTAATTAAAGACATTGATGAACCATTGTCCTTTTCTTCATCTCTTTCATCAGCCAACTGTTTGTCGATGACCACAATATTGTCTCCGTTGTCCACAATTTCTTTTGCGTGATTTGAATTACCAGAAGTGTTTGCAAGTAAAAACGTCGAAGAATCTTTCTGTTTTCCTTTTCCGCTTTCCATGATCATAACAAGTTTGTTATCTGCCATATTTTCGTCTTTGTCATTTTGCTCACCAGAATTCTTTGTAGACAAAAACATTCCAAAACTATAGTCTATTCCTTTATCTTTTCCATCATTCAAGTGTTTGTTCCCAAGCTTCTCATTATCCTTGCCCTCCATTATTTCGTCTTCATTATTAATTCCATCATTTTCAGTGTTTTCATTTTCTTCGCAAGCAATCTGTGGAACCAAAGTCATTGTAAGATCAATATTGTTCGCTTGTGAACAAAGTATGTTGTTGAAACCTATGTCCATGCTTCCGCTGTTATTGATGTCATCGGTCATTCTTGCAGTATCTTCGAATTCATTTGTCATGGTGTGGCCCGTGCGAGCGTCATTACTCTGGTGAAACATTTCGTCATCACTATCTGGGAGTTCACCTTCTTCAAGCTCGTTTAATTCACCAATTTTCTCTTCAGCGTTTTTGGCAGAAAGACACAAAAACATGGTGTTCTTATTATTTCCTTGCTCTTGCATACAAGATGGATTTACATGTTCGCTTAAACCATCATGATTTAGATTTGTTATACTATCACCTGTGTTTCGCAAACGCTTTGGTGTCAAGATATTGCATTCCGTGTCGTCAATATCACTGCTAGATCGTTTGCGCTTGTTTTCAGGACTGCCATCATCAGCTTCATCTTGCATTTTAAGCCACGCTTCGATTCTATGTACTCGCATTTGATGAGCGACGCGTTCCCATTGTTGAAGCTGTTCTCTCTCTTCATCGCTGATTAATTTTTCTACATCTTTAGGACTAAGTTGTTTATGAGCTGCCTCTATAATTGATCTTTTTTCCTCAATCTTAACTTGAACATTCTTCAACTTACTTTTCAAAACCCGACAGTGTAACGATTCCTTGGTCATCTTTTTCCTTGCTTTTAAATTGAATCGTTCTAGGCTTTCGCTTTTCCCTCTTCCACCGACTCTTGCAACGTTTTCGGTGATCTCTAAGATTCCTTCAAGGAACTGATCAAGAGCATGGTTTGTATAGCACACGACCAAGATTGGACTATGATTTCTGCCATCATTCTTCACTTCATTCTTTGTCAGTGGCTTCCGTCGACGCCAGATAGATTTGTTTTTTAACAAAGCTTTTGCAATCCGAAGTCCTACGAATGTCTTACCCGTACCGGGAGGTCCTTGAATTACCACGAATTCCTGAGTGAGTGCAGCTTTTAACGCGTTGTATTGGGAATTGTTTAAATCCACTTTGGATGGTGATGGCCATGCACTAGGGTTTAGAACTGACACCGACTCAGCGGTTTTACACAAGGCTTCAGTCAAATCGTAGCAACCATGATTGTTACCACCAACGTTTTCCGTTGTGCGATCCGTTACTTCAAGATTTGCATCTTCATCTAAACTCAGGATGGGATTTGTTGATTTCTTCAAGTAGACAGGCGGCCTAACGTAAGAATTGCATTGTACCAAATACCTCTGGAATGGTAGGTTATCCTTGTTGAAATTCTGAAGCCCTTCTAGAACATGGCGATAACTTTCGAAATAAGCTGGGGACTCGATCATAAAGAACTGCTGTTGAGCCGTTATAGATTCAGCGACATTGTCGTCAAAGAATTTTACTTTTAAAATGCCATTTTTCAGTTCTTTCGGGTCGCGATCAGTGATTGTGACAAAATACATCGTGGATGTAGTGTTACTGTCGATAAGGCAGTATAAGGAACCGTATTTAAATCGTTTCGAGTGTTCCCAGTTAACTCGGGGTATACGACTGGCGTCAAATTGAACGCGATGAAGTAAGCCTCCAAACTTTGTGTCCAATAACCGTCCAACAACGTTGACATTTCTGTACACGCGAATACTTCGTGATCGGTCTTCATGCATACCGGTAACTTCCAGCACTCCGTCGCGTATTGGGGCAATGTAATCTTCTCTTAATAAGCGAAACTGGACATCTAAGTAATGCGTGACATCGTTATATTGACCGCGGACAATGTTTTTCCGCAGGTACGGTGGTTTATCAGAGAATATGTCTTCTCGTCTGGGAAAAACAGGGATGCTTTTGTAATCATCAGGTGGGGTGTTTTTGACCACAGTTGTGTTAGTTGGAGAATGCTTTTGTTGGAGTATTTCGTCGCGCAGGGATTTCAGTTTTAGGATGCTATCTTTGATTTGTTGTTCTTGATCTTCATTAGTGGAGTTTGTATTTTGAGTGACGTCATTTTCGTTCTCATCTTGACTTTTTTTGCTGCTATTGTCGTTGTCGGTGGGGGTGAAATTGTTGTTGCTGGTGGTCGTGGTGGGGGTGGTAGTATTGGTGATCGTGTTGTTGATTTGCCATAGATCTGCGTGGGTGAACAAGACATCAAGCGGTAAATCTTCACATGTGTCTGGAAATAGACTCAAAAGCTCGTTAAAAAACCGGATTATTTTTTCCAAATGTGCTTTCTTCTTTACGTGATCTTCTTGGCAATATGAAAGTCGAAGTATATAACGGCGAAGGTGTTTTAAAAATGCTGGATCTTTAAAAACAGCAAATATTTTCGTGAAGTTTTGCCTGTATGGGGTATCGTAAAGCTTAGACAAAATTTCCATCATCTCTTCAATTGATTTTGCACTGATATTGTCCCCTTTGAGAAAATCGCAAAGCGCTGCGTGGTCATTTAGCAACGCGATGATTATTTCAGACGAGTCTTTTAAAAGAAGCCTGCTAAACCGATCGTTATAACGAATAAAGGGGTTTGGCTGTTTTCTTGGTTTTTTGTTCGGTTGATTTGTTCTTGTCGTAGGTGAATGCTCTCTTTTTCTGGAATCGTTTTTGGACTGATTGTTTGTTGAATTATGAAATTTGTTTCTTTTTTGGCAGCTAGTCCTGTTTTGATTGGGATGCGATCGTTGCCGTTCTTTGCTATCTTTATTTGAAGTCGGTCTTGATCTGGGCGGAATCTTTTTATTCGCTTTATTTCTCTTTTCGTCATGGCTACTTTCCTTTCCTTTTATTTTCCGTCGTGCATCATTAGCAGTCCTGGCAGTTCTACTTTGGCTCTGTCTAGATCTTGAACTAGAACTGGTTTGCTCGATCAGTCTGCCCGATGTAGAAAGTTCCTCACGAGAAAATGTTTCACCATTTTTATGGCGGCCATGTGTTTTTGAGCTTTGACGATTAACACGATTGTTAGTTTGTGAAGGACGTCCCCCCTTTACTGCGGTCTCTTTCGAATGCCTTTCTTCTCTACCTCGCGTCGTCGAATATGAAAGATTACTACAATTGATCTGATTAGATGATTTTGCGGATCTCCGCCGGGAGTCTAATTTTTTACGTAAATCTTCCTTTGGCTGCCTTGTATAAAACGTTGAGTTTCGATCGTTTCCCCTTTTCTTTGAAGACATTGAAAGATCTTTTCTCTGTTTACACAATTTCTCGTAATAAAAACGTCGTTGTTTATCTAAAATTGAGCACGGGTTATTCTAGTCTTGTGCACTTCTGGACCTAATTTAAAAAGTACAACAATTCTGAAGAAATAGGTGCCTCAATAGCGCTGTGGTCAAAGCGTTGGTGTGTTTAAAAGGAAATAGCAATAAATTTATTTTACCCCACACGAAAGAGGGATTCAATACAGGGTGCATAAAAAAACTGAACAGATTTGAAATTGCTCTCAATTAATTTCGCAAAACAGGTCGTGGTATAAGTTTTTGTTATATATAGATTCCGTGAGTACTGAACTAAAAATGGCTTGCGCATAAAGTGTAAAAGCTTTTAATCGTATTTTGAGTTAAAGGATAGAAAATGTGTTGGGTTTTTAATTGCTGTACAAAATTTCAGACAATTTGCTTTAGTTTAAACCTTTGACTATTCATTGTTTCCTAAAAAATCAGCCTTTCGCATGCTTACTTATGCCTTTACCTAATTTTCATATTGTTGACATATGCAAATTGGGCAAAGGCATAATTAAGCATGCAAAAGGCTGACTTTTTAGGAAAAAATATAAGTTTGCGTGAACAGTTCTTTAACTATTCTTAAACTGAAGCAAATTGTCTAAAATTTCGTGCAGCAATTAAACACCCAACACATTTTCCATCCATTAACTCAAAATACGATTAAACTTTTAAATCTCGTGCGCAAGCCATTTTTAGTTTGTTGGAAAAGACGCACCCCCTGGTTTACACAATTTTTTATTATTCTACATTATAAGTACCCAAAGAAGCTATATACATCATATACATCAATAACTGGATCCTTATAGCTGTTTTTTAAAATTGAGAGCAATTTCAAATCTGTTCAATTTTTTTTATGCACCCTGTATAAAACCTTCGTATAAAAACCTTTTTCTATAAATATATGACCCCCTCCTTGCAACTTTTGCTTTTTTGACCCCCCCCCCCGACATAATTAATTAATTAATTAATTAATTAATGAACGCTTCCTAATTATAAAACAAGATGGCGGATGGTAGGATATTTGAAATTAATTTAACATTTTTTCAAATTGGGCAAACATCATTTTTTCTTGCCATTTTCCTTTAAATTAAATACTTTTTGTTTGATTACCGGTTGGAGCATTCAGCAACTAATTTTAATTCAACTTCGTTCCTAGGGTCTCTCCTTCTGAAAGATCCTGGACAGGCCCGTTTCAGACGGCGTATTAATTGTATTAGATGCGACACAAGAACGGCAATGATTCAAACGGCGTACCAAATACAATGTTATTGACAAGGTCAGGGCGCATTCGCCAGCGAAACCTAAATAAAATTCAAGATAAATAAGTTCATTTTTAGACTAAAGTTGAATTAAGTTTGGCACATGAGTGGAGCGGCGTATGAATCAATGTCGCTCCAACGTCGCATAATGGGACAAGCTCTGCCGAACTTGTGTCGAACTTTTGCCGCTCCAAATTCTACCGTACTTAATTGTTCATCCTGGCCAATGAGGACAAACAATGACTCTCTACAAACTTGGTATAGTAACTATGGATCTGGCTCCTATATATGTTTGTTATAAATAGTAACGACTAACGTTCCCACTATGATAAATTACCGGGGTATGTTTCTCTCCACCTCATGCTTAAGCCTGGTTTCCATTTGGTCGTGGCTGTCATAACCACGTCATGGGGTCACCGATATGGACAGTAAATTTAAAAGACTGCTTGTAAATGTCATTGAAATTGTAAATGATAATAAACCTGCACTAAAATAGCTTAAAGACAATAGATTTCCATAGCATAGCTATAGGTTCAATTTGCATAGCGCTCGGGCCGGCTGCATGCACAATCTGCAGCGTACGGCAGGTACGGAAAAATCAAATTTTCTTGCCAGGGTTTTCGTCTTGCCCTCATATTTTCTTTCTTATGTCAAAAGAAGCAGAATTCTTCGAAAATCGAAAATGTCAAAAAGTGATGGGACCAGTCATAAACACTCCAGACATTACATTCCAGACATTCCAGTTTGAAAATAAGGCCATATAAAACAAATTCCTTGATTCTCATCGTTAAATTTTAAAAACTCCCAGGAGGCGGGAGGTTTATATTTTATACTTTATGTCAAAATATAAAAAAAAGTTTAAAATTTAAAAAATTGGAGAGGGAGGTCTTTTTATATTTGCCATAAATACATTATAGAAGAACGCTATATAAGTGGATAATTGCACATGCGCTAATGAACATGCATAAGGGTCGACACAAATCGTTGTAATAAGGCTATAAGCCCATTTTTTCCTTCAGTATTCCAAGCATCCCTTAACATGTTGCAATATTAACGATAAAACAATTTTATATCGCAAAAATTCCAATATAAAATATAAAAATAACTAAATCTCTGAAGATGTTCGGTCGGGCGGTAAATTTATATTTTAGAACAAAATACAAAAATATATCAACGCGGAAACCAAAATATCGTCGGGCGGTGATGAGAATCAAGGAATTTATTTTATATGGTCTAAGATGAACATTTATTAGTAAAAATGTACGTATAGAATATAGAATTCGATTTTCACTGACCGATAACTTTGATCCTCGTTTAAATTTCCCAAATTTTTAGAAACGGTATAACATTTTGATCCGGTTATTTGATCTACATGCATATCTCCCAAAAATTGCTCTCACTTCATTGACTGTGTTATTAACTTTCAAAAACTAAAAAATCGCGTCGCGTTGTCGAATCGCCGCGCGACCGGTGTGTTTGGACCCAAATACAAATCGACTTAGTCCTATAGTTGCACCAGTTTGAGCTTATCCACTGCTGTGGTAGTTGTAGAAACGAAAGCAGTATAAAATCGTTATTAGAATAAATAATGTTCAACTAAGTGGCAAGTAACCAACCATGCAAAATTTTAGGAAATTATTCACAGCAACAATTTCTCGATATATAAAAGGTTTGTCCATGTCAGTTATCACAGTTAAGTCTAGTGTTTACAAGCAATATTCGATTAGGGGGCCGATTAGCAACTAACCGGCAAAGGCAAAGCGAGTCATCAAAGAAAACCCGAACTCCGTTTACGGTTTTACGGCCTAAAGTAAACTTAAGTTAGGTTTCCGCTTTAAGCAAAATTTATTATTTTTGTTATCTTACCAAGACTCGCAAGAGCGAAAGATCCAAAGTTCCGGTCTTCTTGCCACTCGGGTCTTCGCAACTGATTTGTAGTCTGTAGTCAAAATCAATTCCCCAATGAAGTTTCCACTGCTATGATATTGTTAGCTTCGTAAACCCCTACATTTTGGAATCAAAGCAAATATCTTTTAATTTTAATTTTCAATCAGCCGCAAGAAACGAAGCGACGACTTATGTTGTTCTTAATACTCCTTATGAGGTTACGCAAATTCTAGAATGACCTGCTTTTGCGGTTAAAAATGGGTGGGTGTTGTCTTTGTGGTGTTATGTTACAAGTAATTTTCGAAGAAATGAAAGCTCTTCTTGGAATGTGTATCGCTTTTATGTCATTTGAAATTTCCGCCGGCAAAAACGAAAGTCGTAATTTCGTATGGCTAAATTGAAAATTAATTTAAAAAAATCATAGGCATAGCAGCCCAAAAATGTTATGTCTTTTATGTAGTCTCATAGCTTGAAAAAGTTATGAAAGCTCATGCACGCTCGAGCGTGAAAAATTTTCTACTCCATGAAAAAACTGATAACAGTCATCTCGAAGTTCAATATATGAATTAAAACAAGACGAGTTTTAGAGACTGTATATTTTCTAAGTCGTCTGTTTCGCCCGCACGATATGATTGACTTCGTTTATATACGTTTAGTTTTTTATTAATTTTAGTTATAATACGCTTGAGCCACAAGCCCCATTAAAGGGTCGAACTGTGTTTCACCTGTCAACACTTGCAAGCCGCATATTAGATTATATGAGGGTCCTGAAGGGGGGGGTCCCAATCCCATTTCCCACCTGAAATTTTGGCAAAATCCCAGTCCCAGTATTAGAAATCCCAGTCCCAGTTATTGAAATCCCAGTCAATAGAAAACCCTTTATTTATCGGTAGAATAAACAGTTTTAAGACCTTTTAAGCATGTAGCGGACACTTTATGAAATATTAGGGGGGGACTCGCCGCATCGATCGAGATATAACATCGTCGTAGCATCTCAAAATCTGGTTTTGTTTTATTTAGAGACTGACTTTGCAGATTTTATATTATGACCACTTCCTCCAATCCTCTACCATTAACCAATCAGATGACATATAACATATGTAGTAGACTTGCCCACAAGTCGATCTCGACGTCTTCGTCGACGAACAGCGACCGGCGAAGCCGCTAGCCAAGGACTTTGGGAAAGTGTACATATAAAGTAGTAATGCAAATCCGTTTATCAACGGAATTTGCATTACTAACAGTGAGTGTATCATATTACACCACAAAGCTTTTTGCGCGGATTGCATTTCGGTGATTTCTAAAAAGTATACTTCAAAATAAGGTTCCCGTTTTTATAACGTAGAAAAACCATCCTAACGCAAAACTAAACCCTAATACTAACCCAAACCCTAACCTGACCCTAACCTAACCCTAACTTATTTTAAAAATTGATATAACAACGGAAACCTTATTTTGAAGTATACTATCTAGCAATTGTCACGCTGCGCGGATTCTAGTCTGCGCGAATTTTAATACAATTAGTAAGGTATCTGAATTTTTTTTGCGTTGCATGAATGTCATGTATTTGCCACCAAACATAATTAAGGTCAATACATATTGATAAAGTGAACCATTTGGTCACTCTGATAACTGTCTTTGCTTGTAGATTTGACCACCATGTACATATGGTCACAGAATAATGACACACGTGCACAGAAAGTCGACTCGAGTAACGCTGCCACGCCATGATTCATCATCAGAATGCTGACGCCATGGTCTATGCATCATAGAGATTATAAAATAACACTAGAGGAGGCATTGTAATCTTAATTCAGTAAAAAAAAGGGAACGCGACTATTGGGGGGCAAATTCAAGTCCCGGGTGTGTATTCGTGTTCCCATTGGTGACGAGTTCAAATCAGCCAATGAGAGCACGACTTTATATCCGGGACTTGAATTTGCCCCCCATTAGCTGCGTTCCCAATTTTAAACTTGATGCCTCCTCTTGTGTCATTTATAATCTCTATGCTATGCCGTGGTCCTAGCCAGTAGCCAGTGGGCGTTTGAGAGGCATTCCTCCCGGACGTCCGCATTTTAAATATTATCAGGGGGGTGAATGCCTCTCAAACGCGCACTGGCTAGGACCATGGCGTCAGCATTTTAATGACGAATTACGGTTACGCCAAAATCATTGGAAAATAATAGGAAAAATCAAGAAGTCGGGCTTCTGTATGACTTATTCTGTGATATGGTGTTACAAATGGTCGACTTCAAACAGTGTATTTGACCAAGCTAAATCATTAATTATATTTACCACCAACACCAACAGCGAACCTTTGTATACGCATGCGCGGTTTCACCCTATTTGATACGTTATAATGAAAGTTAAATGAAGTATAAACCCTTTCCTCGTCAACCCTCAATGCGTCAACCATAGAGATTATAAATAACACTAGAGGAGGCATTGTAATCTTAATTCAGTAAAAAAAAAGGGAACGCAGCTATTGGGGGGCAAATTCAAGTCCCGGATGTGCATTCGTGTTCTCATTGGTGACGAGTTTCAAATCAGCCAATGAGAGCACGATTTTATATCCGGGACTTGAATTTGCCCCCCATTAGCTGCGTTCCCAATTTTTAAACTCGATGCCTCCTCTAGTGTTATTTATAATCTCTATGGCGTCAACCCCGTACGCTGACCAATGACGCGCATAACTGCGGACTCCGTTTAATTTCCCGCCAAATCATTAAAGCCCTGGCCTTGTTGTTTGTGTGTATGGCTTGCAAGATGGAAGGCCAAGCAATTTTAACAAACTATTTTACAGCTGCAAAATCCCGTCAAAATACCCATCCAGCTAAACGGCGGAAGGTAGTAGCTGATGCCGAAGTTATATTAAGCAAATCTGCGAAATTAGGAGACGAAAAATGCGTGTCTTTGAGCCAAGAGAAGGTTGGTTTGAACGCTGCACATGCCTCAAGGCCAATGGCGTCTGCTCGGACAAAACAAGCGAGTCGGTCCAGAATTAGGCACAGCAAGACAAAAAGCAAGGCTGCACAAAATAAAATCGTGTCTGAAGGTGTAGTTTCTGTAACAACGTCGTTAAAAGATGATCATGTGGTTAAAAGATCGAGAAAGCGAAGTCAAATCAACAATGGCTTTGAACCTTCGGCTTCTAAAGTTGAAGAGCTCGCTATCTCGTCCGCTACTGGCCACGGAGAGGTCAAACCGAGTCAAACTGGCCCGTTAGAAGTCAGAAAAAGTGAAACTGGCCCAGAAGAAATGAAAGCGAATAAAACAGAGGAAAAGATCCTTCCTTCTTTGTCCCAAACAACCGAGAACACAAACACTGATTTAAATTCTGCGCCCAAACGGGCCAACATTGCGAGTCAATCTCGGGCAGGACTGAAGGTTAACCCATGGATAGCAGAACAGGCAAAATTGGTGCTATCAAGCCGTGGAAAGCAAGCGTTGGAGAAAAGCCTCGGCAGAAAGAAGGCAACCGGAACTTTGGGCAAATTAGCTAAGGAGGAAAGTCGGGTTGTGGCAAAGGAGATGCCCAAAGTCGAGAAATCGTATAGTGCGGGTGTGAAGCCTAAAGTTGATGTACCAAGATTGAGCCAGGGGGTTACCATGAGCATGGGTGCAAAAGCAAACTCTCTGCCTGGTGAAAGGTAAGGTATTATAATTGCATGGTATAGCTTTGTGTACCTCAAGATTACCACTTCTCAGCCTATTTAACTCATTAAGCTGCAGAGGTTCTCCATTGACTAGAAAAATTTTCTGGCATTAGACAAGTAAAAAAAAAGTAGGGCACATTGGGGTTCAATGGGTTGACTCTCTAGTCATTGCTGCTCAATGGGTTGACTTTTTAGTGCAGAGCTTCCCCATTGATGAGTTAAATTGTCTGGTGTTAGAAAAGTAAAAAAAAAAGTAGGCTGCACTGGGGCGCATTGTGACTCAATGGGTTAACCCACTGAGTGCTGTCTTCTCTTCTTGATGAGTAAAACCATCTGGCTTTAGACAGTAAAATGGGACGTTCCAGAAAATATAGACCCCATGGAGGAAATTCCTGCCGTCCTGAGGGGAAGGGGAGAAAAAAAGGCGATAGGGATGTAGATCAACTTAATGGGTTAACTAGATGCATGGGCAGATAGTCTCGTGATTAGCCCATTGAGTGCCAGCACATAATTGGATACATATAGTATGTCAGAAGGTGATAATAAAAATTATATCCCACGGTCCAGGACTTATTTTTTCATTTACTTGACCTTCTACACCATTGCAGATCAGTAAAGAGAAAAGTCAACTGTTTGCAGTAATTTTGTGCTTGCATATACGTAGTCAAGCCCATAATTAGGAGTTTAGATTTAAGCCCCCAAGGCTCGAGAAATGTCTAGAGTGGTCTGGGTGACATGCTCCCTCCAATATTTGTTATTTTCTAAGCCTTAAAAATGATATTTGATGCATTCTGAGAAACTTTAAAAAAAACATCCATCCCAAAAACAGTGACCGAATGACTATAATAATATAATTTTACAGTCAAACTCATACACAATTGCACCTAAGAAGGTAAAAAAAATGATCAGGTGCATGATAAATTAAACTTCTGCTATTGGACTGCTCTGGGTACATCTAACAAATATTGACGTTTCAGGAAACTGACCAAGTAGATCCTTTCAGTATCTGTTTTTTTCTTTGACCTTGAAACCTTCCTGTTTGAATTTTTTTCTCCGAAAATTTGTCATTGACTTGGTTGACTCATAGCCAATTACAGGCCTGGTAGTCGTCTGGGTACCCTGATCTCTGAGGGGGCACATTCCAGTTTGTTGTTAGTTTGTGAGTGTTATTACCGTATTTGGTTTATTATCAACCTTCAAAATAATCGGCCTCATGCAATATAACAAAATAATGTTTAATTAATTCTCTTCTCTTGATTATTTTTAGTGGTTCCAAGTTGCCAGCATACAAAAGATTTAGCCATCTTCTTGAAGCTAAGAAACCCAAGCCATCTGGTGGCACACAGAATCTTCCTCTCCCGTACCATTTCAAACTACTTGACGAAATGTTCCGGTGTGTCGACGTTGTCCTTAGCCTGAAACAGAAGCGATATGAAACTTGTACCTTTGAGAAGTTGAAAGATTCTGTTCAAGAAATGTGTCGAAAGTAAGTTCAATTTTACCATTAAATGTTTACCAAAAAATATTTTTGCAATGAAGATGTTCACAAGTTTTCACCACTAAAAGGCTATTCCGTCAAGGTGAAATTATCAACAGAATTTTTGTGTGATTGCCTTCTCAATTCCAATAATTATTTTAAGTATGAACAGATGATTATTATAATGATTATTTGATGATGAAACAAGATTTTCTTGAATATCAAACACTTATGGTCGGCAGAGTCAAGAGAATACAATTCAGTTCTAATTAATGTTCTGTTAATGTTAACAGCAAGTAAATACATGTAATACATTATTATGCTAATTATGCATCATCAAATTGTCTTTACCAATTAAGCCGCAATGCGGTCCAGTGCACCCTACTTATTTTGTACGTGTCTAACGCCAGACGAGTTTACTTGTCAATGGGGAAGCTCTCCAGTTTAATGGGTTAAAGTAAGACAAAAATATTGTTGCAGAACTTGGATATATATTGGCAGCAATTTTTTGGCCACAAGGATAGGTAGCAGTGTACTAAAATAATGTGTAGTGGTTAACATTGAATTATTCATCCTTTAGAAAATTTGAGAAAAAGCATTTGGCACAGATGAAAGCTGTTTACCCAACAGCCTTTGTCTTTCGGCAACAAAGTAGTCCCTGTGGCCCAATGAAATCAGGCTACCAAATGACAATTGATTTCAACTTTGATGGAAGTCAAGAACAAAAGCCAAAAGATTTTAAATTTATGGAAAGCTCTGTCATGATTGCTCGACAAAAACAATTCAAGAACGAACTGTTGAAGATTACGATGAATCACCATCGGGAGTACTTGGCAAAGAATTATCCATCGTTAAGTGTTAATGATAATGACATAATGAGATGGCATCCATGTTTCCCCCTTGATGAAGTTCCAGAGATTGGTCAATCCACACTTCCAGAGCCTCCACAAGTGAAGACATTTTCTACTGCCCAGGATGTCTTGGATCAGGCTCGGCTTAACACGATTCCGCGGGTAACTAGAGTCTTTGGTTCATATGAAGTAAAAATTTTAGTTGCCTTATTGTCTAGATTTGTGTTAGAATTAGAAATAGTTTGTGGTATAAATTATAGACTTGTTCTCATTCTTCTGCATTGAGTTTGTTAACCCATTGAGTACCAACACTCCCCTTAATAAGTAAAATTGTCTGGCATTATAAACAGAGTAAAATAATAAAATTGGGCCATTGCAGCTTAATAGCTGGGTTAAATAGAAATGGCATTAAGTAATAAAATGTGGTGCAATATAATACTGCTCAATGAGTTAATATTTTAAAATTTTTTCCATATCTTGCAGGTTGAGAAGGCTTTAAATAATGTTGCAAAGAAATCATCAGAAACTAACAATGCAAGAGCTGGCTTGCAAACAAATGAAAACAAGAAAGATTCAAATCAGACCAAGAACCAAAATCCATCTTTGAAAGGAGTATCGCAATCTCTCATTGATAAGGTAGTGCATTTGAATCAACAAATTCACATTGTAAAACTCAAAGTTCAAATATTTTCTTGACTTGCATATGTAAGGCCTAAAAGATTGTTTGTTTCGAGTTTATCGACTGATCAATCCTACTATATCAAGATACCAGATCCTATTTTTTATAACACTTTGTTGGCAAAAATTAGGAAATCACAAGTATTCATTGAAATTCATGTGTGTTTTATCATTTGAATAAAAAAATAGCAAAATTTCCAATCTACTGGACCAAACATTATTAATGATCGTAACTCATCTACTCATTCACATGCATCGGAAGAGAAAATTGCACCAGAAATTGCAGCAAAAATTGCAAGTGTAAATGGGCCTTAACACCGTCAGACAATTTACCCATCGAGGGGGGAGTGCTGCCACTCAGTGAGTTAATATAAACCCATAGACACCAAATTACGTTTTACCCTTGATTGACAAACTTGTCTCCAGTAACTGAAATCTTTTTTTTGTATTGCCTAGATACGACAAAAGGAGGAGAAGAAAATTCATGAATCTCTCACAGTTGATTCAGAAGTTGTACAGAAACGTGTTATGGTGCAGAGATTACCTGAGCTATGTCGAATTTTGAAAACGTATCCTTTACCACACTTGCTAAAGGCAACTTTATAGAGTAATGGGTTAACAATGAAGTCAGACCTTGCATCTTGGGACAATGCAGCTTAATTTTGGAGTTCCAGAACACTAGTTAAATCATTAATACTTTCTCTTAATTAAAAAAGTAAACACAGCTATCTTTCTGAAATATTCAACCTTGACTATATTCTCAAGATATTTTGTTAGTGAACGTAAAGCAGCAATTCCTTTAGAAGATGTGAGTAACAAACTCGCAGAAAGCTACACAAGTACATTATCATCAGGTAGAGTAAAATTTATGCAACTTGTTTTGAAAATTTTGTTCAAATCTAAATGTTGCCCACATGCAGACACAGGGCAAAAACATGTTATGAAAAGTTTGAATATCTTCATATCTCCAATGGGTCTCCCCATTAGTGCCATGTTGTCCTCCCTATTGCCCTGTGGTCCCCTTCTTGCCACGTGGTACCCCCTTTGGCCCTGTGGTACCCCATTTTTTTTCATCAAAAAACAATGATTTTCAACTCATAAAAACATGTTATGAAAAGTTTGAAAATTTTTGGTCCCTGATCTTTGCCCCAAATTAAAAAAATTTCAAACCTGTTTTTATCAGCTGCAAGTAATTGTTTTGATGAAAGAAATGGTTTTCAACAATTTTCAGAAGGCTTGGAGCAGGCTGAGGCTGGTTTTTTTTTAAAACTCTGTTGTCCCCACAGTTGCTTGTCGGTCCCTCCATGGCATTTGACCAAAATTTTTCAAAAAGTAAGAGTGTTGATGAAAGGAATGGTTTTCGACAATTTTCTGAAAGTTTAGAGTAGGTTGACGCCCTTTTTTAATTTCTAAAAAAGTTGCTGTGGTCCCCAATTTTTTGACCATCTGCGTGGTTTCCACCATCATCTGCTGCAGAATTGCACAGGAAAAGGAACTGTAATAATTGTGTTGTAATTTTATTTTCAGTTCAAGTTGAAAAACATGTGAAATTACTTTCTGAAGTCGCTCCGGAATGGTTGTCAATTATGTACGTGAGGAAATGTCCTTATGTCAAAGTAAAGAAGAACGTCAACATCAAAAGTCTTATGGAAAAATTGAAGACGAAAGAAGTAAATTAGGAAACTCTTATCGAGTTTAAGAAACGTGTTTCACATTGGATAGACTTGGGAAACCATGAAAACAAATATGTAGTGGACAATCACGACATTAAACAATGGTACACAAGAAAAATGTAGTCAAGAACAATAGTGGCACAAGATTAAAGACATTCTGGTTTTAATGTTGCATTTAGTTGATCACTGGACATTGAATAGATAATAACAGTTCTGACAATACTTCTACCGTATTTGTTTGTGAGCTTTTTAATTAAAGAAAGGTTTTGTTAGCCTCTCCACTTGTGATTATAGCTACATACAGCCAAATTAACACATGCTTAGAAAATCAAAAGTAGCCCGCTTTAAAAGAATAAAAAAGTGCCTAAAAATGATCAACAAGTAAACGTTCCTTAACTCTTTTTTTAGGTATTTATATGGCCATTCGCCATTTTCACGGCCACTTTTTCAAAAACTCGAAAAGTGGCCGAAAATGCCCAAAATGTTAAGGGTTATAACCGTTTACTTTTTGGTCAACTTTTATCACTTTTTCATAGTAGTCTTCTTCAAAGTAGCTATATAAAGATGGTCAAAAAAGTAAATGTGTTAAAAATGATTTTAAAAATAACTAAAAAAGAAAGATATCCTTAATTCTTAATTGTTCTGACAACATTTTGGCCTCCAATCTTGGAAACTCATTAGAATAACAACACAACTCATCTATGTTACTTGGTCAACGTTTATTCATAAACATGGTCGTTCACCGTCACATATGTATTGTGTTTTTGCCAAACCCACCAATAGCAATTGAGCCTATTGTTCGAGTCGCGGATAGGTAACTTTCCTATTAAGACATTGCTATTGGTTAGAGGGTCCTGAAGGGTGTCGTATTCGGTATTCCCATTTCCCAGCCCAAATTTTGACAAAATCCCATTGTCCCAGAGCACAAATCCCATCTCAGTGGCTGTCCTGCTCAAATCTTAATCCCATTTTCTTTTGTTTTTTTTTGCTGATGAATCCCAGTGCATGGAATCCCATGAGTTTTTCTCGACCTGGTATTATTGTAGAGCATAATTTGGAAATGGTCTATTAGTTTTTGCTCTAAGGGGCTGTTTATATGGTCCTGCTTACACGGGATTCGATGAAGTGTGACGTAATTTGAGCAATTGAAATAAGTCGCACTTCATGATCTATCGAAATAGAAATTGTATGAAATTCCACATTTTAATACTTTTAATCGTCCTCTTCCACTACATAACTTCTAGCGCGGTCCTAATTTCGTTTAAATAATATTTAAAGTTATCTAACTTTTGTTTAGGGCTGAAACACGTATTTCAATTGCTCAAAATACGTCACACTCAGTGGCAGAAATCTCGGTGGGGCGGGAGGGTTGGGTGGCCGCCCCCCCCCCCCCCACCTTCGTGGAAAATGACGAATTTTTCGAAATTTTGACCTATAAGAGGGCTCAACTGAACCTTTTCGAGTGCAAATGGGGGGGTTGTCGGAAATTTGAAAGTTTTGTCGGAAATTTTATAGAAGGCTTCGCTCCACCGGAAAAAGGGGAATTTCCGCCACTGGTCATACTTCATCACTTTTAATGGTTCGCCCCTAAGTTAATGAAGTTGTGGCATTTCTGCATTCCCGCATTTCCCCATTCCCGCATTTTCACCGTTCCCTATTTAAAGATAGCCGACCCCCCTGCAATCTCGTACGAGATTGACCCTTGATTGACCCCCCTGTCTTACGTAAAATAGCTCGGAATTTGTCGACTTGCATCGTACAGTGCCGAGTGCGCGGGCATTTCCGAATTTTAAAATTTTTTTACCGCGTGGCGCGTGTTGAAGAATGTAGAGAAGCAAGGAAGAAAAATGGAGGACATTTTTTTATCAAACACACCTTTATTGGAAGGTAATATGCTTTATTTAATATCAATCCTTGTAGTAGAGTACTTAGATTGCCAATATAGATGGAAATTTAGGACATCGAGCCCGAACTTAATGGGATATTTCGGCATAAAGTTTGCTTTTGCTTTGCACGTGGTTCGCTTTATGGGCGATTGTCGAACTTTAAACCGTGTTTTAATTCATAACTATTGTCGATCAAGTGAGTAAAAAAGACTAATTAAGATGTAGAATTGTTTAAGTTGTCGAAAAAAGTTATCTCTGAGTTCTTACCCAAAATTTTTATATTTAAATATTAAAATTTTTATATCAAAATGAAAATCCAGAAATTCTGGATGTGTTTCTTGACGTGGCTGCAGGCTGGTGTAAATTGTTATAGTGAAAAGCTAGGAGATGCGGTCATAGATCGGTGAGGCTCCTTGGTAAAGAGGACTAGTATTAAAGATTGGAAGCTAGTCAACTTGGGCCACTTGGCCCACTGACCAACTCGGCCCATACCATCTTGGCCCAATTGTTAACTACTGTTTGACATATTGGGAAAGCTATTATTTTACAAAAGATAGCACCAAACCAATACAGCCATTTGCTGTTGCATTGGGCGTACAGATGAGTAAAGTTTGAAACATCCAGTTTGACTTTTAATTAAAGAATCTATCGAAGTTTCAAATTCTCAATCTGTCCGTTTTGATACTAAATTACTGGTCATTCAAGTATAAAAAAAATACCTGTGGTTCCGGTTTCATATCGCGAAAAAAGTAGGGTCGGTAGGTCGGAAATATATTTTTTTGAATATTTTTTTCATGGTTTTTTCAATATTATTAGTGCAACAACAGACGCCATTTAGGCGGCAGCCCGCAACCACCCAGAGAAAATAGGGTCGCACGGTCAATCGCGTTGAAAAAATAATAGGGTCGGCAGAGTTGGTCCTTGAACGGTGGGCCGAGTTGGTTAGTGGGCCTAGTTGACTGTAAAGCGTAAGATTAGAGTTTGTAGGCTGAGGGTGGTTTGAAAAGATGATTGTTCTTTTGAGGCACAACTACTCCAGGCTCAAAAATATGCACTACAGTAGCAGTGTAAAGCCTTTTTTCGACATGGGCTGGCAAGGATTCAGAGAATGCTAAAAAATTAAAAAGATGTCTGGAGTCGGAATGAGTTTGAAAAAATTCCAATCAAATTTTAACGTAATCCAATTAGCCTTTCTCATGCCACCATTTTTGGGTGGCAACCTTTTTCGAAAAAGGATAGTAAGCAGTGAAAATGAAGTTGTAAGTTTAATCATATCTCGCTAGCCAAGCTATTCACACCCTCACCTCATCTTTTTGTAGATGTTCAATGCAAGTTCCAAGAATGTTGCAAGACCTCATCATAATGAAAAATGTACACATTCCAAGATCCTGAATAACAGGTAAATGATTTTTCCTCTAATTATTTCTAACCTCCTTGTATTTCTTTGGACAATTTTCTTTGTAATATATTAATTTGTTTCATGTTCTCAATTGCGAGTTTTTAATTTTCTAGGTGTGTGTGTTGCAATTTCAAAGAATGTCTCAAGTTGTTGGCCGAAGAAGTGTTTATGATCACAAAAATGAACATTGTCATTGGAAAGTATATAAAAGGTCTTAATATTTTCCTGTCTTATCTTACATGAAGTGTTTTGAAAATTATACGATTGCTTGTGATCAATAGTTTAAAAAAATCCCAGCAGAATATTGCAAATCTAGCATGACCATGGTACTTATGACACAAAATACAACAAAAATAATAAACACAATCTTTACGCCTAAATATTTAGAATTTTATTAATTTGGAAAATTTCATTTTTCGTGGTCCCTTGATTACTTGATCAAATTTCATGTCACTGATCACAAAAATTCTATAATTTTCAAAGCATATAAGCATTTTATGAGCAAGCCAAATAATGACAAACTGTCTGTGTTTTGAGAATGTTTGCTTAATTAAACAGTAATGATTTTGAGTTTATCTGTGTTCTATCTGAGAACATAGTTGTTTCTACATAAAATTATTTTCAAAGTTTTTGTCAAGTATAAAAAAAATGAAAAGTTTGTCAGTATTTGGCTTTGTTACATCAGTTAAACATCGAGAAGATTGAGGTGGTTTTTATTACAAACCAAAGCGGTTACTAGCTTACAAATATATAAGACATGTGACTTTATTTCAGGAAGGAGTCATCATTTTAGTCATCTTCCATGTTTTGGTATTAATTTGGAGTATGTTTTCATTAAAGGATTAAAAGAACATTTATGAACATTTGTCTCATCATAATTTGTGTTTTGAACTTGTGAAAGTGCAATTGTGAAAACAGTAAACTTATGTTCCATCTCAATCTTCTCTTGTTTAAGTGAACTTTCGGTGTTTGTTGAAAGTTTGGAAAGTTTGTCTGAAAATCACAATCTTTCATTAAATGTTGATGCTCGATGTTTTCAAATATTGAATCCTACAAAAAGCGATTAGTGATCAATTGAAGTATACAATACTTTTAAAATTAGCACTGTTAGAACTGCCTTGTTGTTTAATTGTCCTGTCTTATTTATCCCAGCAGACTCTTAATACATGAGTTTGATTATTCCTGGACACAAATAAAATGGATTTGTTGAGGAACAAAGCAGTTTTATACAGTACTGACTTATAGGAGGGTTGTGTTTTTCAGTTGTTGTTTTTTTTATTCTTGTTCCAACCACACCATTGTGGTTTTTAACAAAATTTGAATTTTGGAACAAACTTTGTGATTTAAAAAAAAACTTTCCCAACTTTAAAACAAACAGTTAAGGTCAAAATAAACTAGGATATTGCCCTTATTTAATTACAAAGTGGAACTTACTTGGATATGGATGAACTGAAACAGCGAACTATATTTAATTTGGGGGGTAATGTGAGATGGAGAAAATAAAATAAAAACAATCCTCAACAGATGAAAAACAATCGGCAATGGAGGAAAAACAATCGGCAGTGAAAAGTATATATTAATTGTTTGGTAAAACAATCCAATAATTGGAATATTGAAGCTGAAGATAAGATCGACAGTTCTTTGTGCTACATGTACTGTATGTGGGCTTTATAACATTAATTAATGCATAATTTGATAAGATTTGAATCAAAATTCAAGCATGGAATTAACCTTTTTTTAGTATTCATCAAAATTTGTGTGTGTTTCATCAAACATAAGATACAATGATTGAGATGCTCAATGATAAAGTACCAAATTTTATAATATCATTCTGAATAAAAAGTTCTTGCTTTTAAAATATTATTTTTATTTAAATAATATGATTCAGCTATGATAAATCCTAATTTATTTATAAGTGTGAAATTTTTAAGCTTGAATTTCGTATTTTATTTCAAATCAGTTCAACTAATTTCGTACTTTGGTTTGGATACTAACTGAGATGACAAGGCCTATAATTTTTATTGGCTGGTTGTGGTTAATAATTGTTTGGCAATTAAAATTAATTTGTTAGTTTTCTTTTGCTTCAGTTCAACATTATTTTCAAATAGTTCCACTTTGTAATGGTGTGTTATAATAGTCATAATAATAATAATATAAGCAAACAGGTTTACATGGCACTCGAACATGGTCTTTTCAATGAGTATGAAAAGGTAAGTTTATACTTCAAAAATGTCTGTTTTAACCTGACAAGAATGCTGTCCAAAATTAACTAAAACTCGATCTTTATCACCTTTCAATGAAATTTTATATGTTCAATTGACAACTGCTACTACTGTAGGATATCTTTTGATGTTTGTGTTTGGTTTGCTCTTGATACTAGAAATTGATGAAAATGCAATATAATATTTTGTTTACAAGTTGAGAGAGATTCTAGATTCTAAGGATTTTTATGGAAACCGATTGTTCCTTGTGAGGACTTGAGCAAAACTGTTTGTCTACTTTTGAGTTAGCAAAGTATATCCAAAACTTATTTCCTGTTTTTCATTATGCAAAACGATAAGCTCTTTTCCAATTGAAAATTTTTGGTTTCGACCAATATAAATAAAAGTGCAAAAAAATAAGAAAATATTAAAATTTTTAGTTTCGACCAATATAAATAAAAGTGAAAAAAAAATAAGAAAATATTTTATGAAAATTTGGAAGTTTGGTTATAAACCATATTTTGGTGTGTTTCTGTACATGGTCGCTACATGTTTTGCATAAAAAATATTTCCTGAAGTATTTTTAAAATATATAAATAATATAAAACAGGCAACTTTTCCCTAGGAGATGTTTGTTTGTAAAATGGTAGATCAATGTCTATCATTATTTTTCGAGGACGAGAAATGTACCATTTTCTTATTAAAGCAAAGCAAATTGAAACTAAATTTTTGTTCGAAAAATCAATCGGAATTGAAGAAATAACCTCTTTTAAAATTTTGTTGAACTGCATTTCATCACTTGAATTAGTATTAACATTATGTATAATCAATTCAAAGTTGTCAGGTTAAAAACGACGCTCAAAAATATATGGCTCCGAAAGACTGCAGGATAATTTCAAATTCTCAAATATTTCTTCTTTTGGCACTTGAAAGAAATGTTGGTTCTATAAAAAAAATGTAAAGCATGTTCGATTTACTTCGTCTTTGAGCCATATATTTTCTTGGTAAAACAACCTGGTGTTTTAATACGCCTTTGGATTTCTCCGTCAGACTTGTAAAATTTATCATTAGAGTTGTTTTACAATATTTGAAGTATAAACATTTATCTTGAAAAGACCAGGTTCTCTTGTTGTCTCAAGAATTAACTTTTTTAATGTTAATTCACGGGCAAACAAGTTTTTAATGTTGTGTTTATACAAGTTTGTGCTTATTCACTTGTGTTGAATACAATGTTAATTAATTGTTCTCTTTGTGCCATGTTCTGTTTTCTTCTATTGTTATTTAAATAAGTATATGCAGTGGTTGTTCTCTTTTTATTGTTATTCAAATTGTTATATTTACAAATTCTTTTCAATAAATTGTCATTAATTATACAAAAGACTCCTTTTTAATTAAAAATTCAATTCCCATGGGAATTGAAAAAAAAAATAAAAAAAATCCACCTACCCCGGCCGGCTCCCCAAGTACTACCTCTACTTCAAGCAGAAGTACTTCTACTATATAGTAGAAGTGCTTCTACTCAAAGTAGAGGTAGTACTCGGAGAGCCAGCCGGGGTAGCGAGGCGAAGAGAAGACCAACCTTGCAAATGCAAAATAATGCAAATTGCTAAGTCGACTTCTCTTGAGAGCAGCCACGCGCATACCTGACAAATGTAAAACAACAAGCATTAGTAACAAATACTCGACATGCAAATTTTTAATCCCATGGCCGAAAATGACAAGTGCCCCCCACTGATTCCTACCAACTGCCTACCTGCCTCAGTCCTAAGCTGTCTGCCTTGGTCCTAAGCTACCTGCATTCCATTCGTAACTTCCGCTTTCCTCACCATCACACAGACACTCACAACTGCCCACCCTTAAAACTGAAGGAATTAAAATTTTGGTAAGGTATACATAATTAATTAATTTAATTAATCGGTATTTTAGGCCAAACATAAACAGATAAATTAAAGGTTGACGATTAAGAAAGACCGCTTACACAAACAGGTGAGTTTCTTACTTGCCTCTATTCATGAAATTTACATAGAAAAATATACGAAACCTCACAATATGCTTTACTAGCAGACTATAATTTTCGTTTAAATAGCGAAACTCAACAAATTTTGTTTATGTTAGGAAATTAGTCATTTTGTTCAGAAAAGATATATTTTCTCTCTAAATATTGCTGTCAAAATTTTAATTCCTTTAGTTTAACCCTAACCCCATGCATCCTATACACACGGCGCACACTCTCGCACTCCATACATTTAGCTAATAAATTACGTTATAAAAAGAAAAGCAAAATAAAAAGATAAATTACGTTATCACTAGCTATCCTATAACCCACTTAGACTGAGTTTTGGATTCTGGTTCGAAACGTAAAATCTTAACTGAAAGGGCATGGGCTTGAGTTTTGTTAACTGGTCCGAAATAAATACAAACCTTAAACTTACCTAAATGAAAAGCTTGATTAAATAAGCATGAGAATGCATATAATTTTTTTTAAAACATTCATAGGAGTTTGAAATCCAAACGAAAATTACTGTTTGCCTTATATAGTTCAAACAGATCGAAACAGACTTAACCGCAATTCTCATACTCATTTAACCGGAACGCCTTTGATGATCATTTGCATGGCACGTCGCAGCTGCTCTCGAGTAACAAGATACTTATCATATTTAATCAAAGAGGATTCATTATAAATTCAAATTTCCACTATGAAATCAACATCAATATGAAAACAAAGCATAGCATATTCCCTTGGGAATTGAAAATACAGGAAAAAATAAAATTACCAAATACTTTTGCTTGCGCAAAATAAAATAATTAGCATAAAAACAAAGTATAGTATATTCCCATGGGAATTAAACACACGAAAAATAATCCACCAATTCTTAACTTTTTAATGCTTGAACTAATAGGGTTGCTTGTTTTCATCGTATGTCGATTTCATTGTGAATATAAGCAGACTTATCCCATAGCTAACAGAATATAAACATGGTAGGGACCGCATCTGACAGTGATTTAATTTATTGTCAACACCAACTGACGATGAAAAAGAGGAAATGCTTGGTGCTATAGGCTCCAAGCCATGTTTATTTTACATTAACTATGGGTGACGCGGATTAATATTTTGTTTTCAGAAAAGACTACAATCGAAAATATTCCAGGCAAGATTTCGTGCTTTTAAGGTATTGTTGCTTCGATCTTTTTTATACAAACAGTTCTCTACTATCAATTTTGGAAACTTTTTTGTTGTTTTCAAAAAACTTTAATGAAATGATATGTTACCATACAGACTCTAGATCGTCACAAAAACAATGCGTTATCGCGATTTTGAAAGTTTTACCCAAACGTTTGTCTAATTTTGAGGGCAATATATTATTTCTATACTCCGAAAATTGGAAAAAGTCGGAAAATTCGCCAAACCTGCAGCGTGTTTAATTTCAAATTTTTCAATGAGAAAATCATTGTATTCACTTGAATCCCCTTTGATCTTTAAATAAGTATTTTGTCTTTAACTAACTTACATTGGTAAAATTTTTTGCTACTTTCATATTAGCTGATATTGTGTTTTCCGATTGTTGCGATCGTCATTCTTTTCTCGGCTCCATGCCATTCGTGAATTGCTCTTTCTGGTCTTTTCATCACTCTTTTCATCACATCAAAATTTCATCACATCACCTTTTGAAATTAAAAAAGTATCCATGAGTCCATGAAATAGGATTGAATCATGTTATTTATTTTAAGGCTCGAGTTATATTGCCAGGATTTTTTTATTAGATTATTCAGGCCTCACAAATTTACCAAATTATCGCAGACAAAAAATTGCCTCGCTATTTTAGGCTTCGGCCCAAATTCAACGGCATTTATGTCCACTAATAACAATTTTGAATTACATTATTACATATACCACGTTTTAAATGATCAATTAATTATAATTGATCATTTAAAACGTGGTATATGTAATAATGTCGCTGCCTTGTCCTGCGAGTCACTATATGAACGGTTTACATGAAGTAGTGCGTCGCGACTAACAACACTCAGACCAGAACGCTCATATCCCACCCCTCTTTGCGCGCTTATGATGTGACGCACTACTTCATGTAGACCGTTCATACAGTGACTCGCATGAAATCTTTTTATTAGCACCTAGGAACGAGGCAGATAATGTCGATGATAGCCTAGATCTAGCTAGGCCCTTTACTCAGTTGGTTTTGGTTAATTTTGGGCTGGCATTTGTTAAGTATCACGTGACATGCATTTGCCATTCTCCGAACCGCCCATAAAGCGCGTGGGTCCCAATATTCTCGTGTGAAAAAGAACGGAAATTAAAAATAGAAGGTCAAGGTGCAGGCTGATAGAGTGTTTTACGTGACGTTAGCACAACCATGCTGAAGGGCAATATCCAGTGGTGGGGGAAGGGAGGGCGCCAGGGGGAATAAGAGTTTGCGTTAGTATTAGGGTTAGTGTGGTGTTAGGTTACTTGAACTGGCGGTCTTCCCCTTTAGCCACGACCTTGCCATCGCACGTCACCCATTATTTCTTGTTGAAACAACAAAAATATAGGAATTTTGTTTGCGCATGCGTCTAATTTCGCGCGGTGAACAGACAGGAGATCTGGGGAGGGTAAACGTAACATTTGATTTTTGAACGTTTTATTTGTTGTTTTTTTGGCCTAGTTTTTTCCAATGACAAAATATTGTTATTTAATGCTTCGTTGGGAAATAGGGAAAGGTAGGCGAAAGTTCGGAAACAAAAAGTATAAAAATCAAGCTTTTAGGGACCGCTCATTATTTATTGTACAGGGGGGACTGAGGAGAAACTCCACAGTTATAATATTTTTTCGTTGCCCCCCTCTAAAGACAAGTAGAATTTTCAAAGCCCCCTCCAACAGGCAAAACAAGAACATAAAGTTTGATGCCCCCCCCTGCCGACTCTAGCTCTTTATTAGAGAAACAAAAATAGATAATGGGGACCAATAGACAATTCCCATTATAGACTAATTTTTTATCTTAGCAAAAAAAGTATATTCCCGGATAGAGCATACTAAAATGAGTAAAATTGCAAATTTTAGTTGCACAATGTTATAACATGTGGAAAATATAACCTTCCAAAGTTCCGCATGCAATACAAAAGTATACCAAATTTGCAAACTTTGCAAGGCTATATTTTCTATATTTTACAACATTTCGCAACCAAACTCAGTTTGCAATTTTACTCATTTTAGTAAGCTCTTTCTAGCTGTAGTGATTTATTTGCATCTCTTTGCCTAGTTTTAAAATTAGTCTATAAATTTAAACGCCCCACAGTTTCTCCTAAATCCCCCTCTGTACAATAAATAATGAGCGGTCCCTTACTATACGTAACATTATAGATCGGAAATCTTCGGATTGCGACGGAAAATCACGAATTTTCCTATCAAAAATACTTTGACTAGTGAACGAAAAAAGGTCTAGTACATTTTTGCGAAATCTGCTGTTCACCAGGTGCGGCCAGAAAAGAACTCGGAAATAATTTTTCGAATGCGCCTAAAATTATTGATCAGCGCGGATAAAATTCTTACCTGTTGAAACAACAAGAAATAAGGATAGTGCACGATACTTAATTATCTAAACAACGTTTTGGAATTATAGTTGTTGGTATAGGCATGTGTGTGTAATCTGAAAAAGACCAGCACGAGTGACGTTTTCAAAGACGATCGATATTGCATGAGTCTGAAGCACGAGTGCAATTTGAAGACTTCGAAAAACTCATGATCACGAGTGTATATTTTTCCAAATTGAGCGAGAAACCATACTATTACTTATTAATAATAATAATATACATGCATGAAAAAATTATACAGAAGCATATTCGTGGTCACTTCCAGGCACGAAACACATGCGAAGTAAATAATTTACTTGTCCATTTAAATGACCCAGCAACTTGATACAAGATTTGTCAGCTGTCAAAATGTGTTTTTGTTTTGCTGTTTTCGAAGTATTTCGTATTGGCACTGTGTTTCTTTTTTGGCACTGTATTTTCAATCGGAGTGGAGAACATTTTTTATGTATATTATTAGGTTTGAAAAAGCGAGAAATTCCTGCATTCATGTATTTCAAAAGTTTTATAACATCACTTACATCTATATTTACCAGTTTTGCATTTTCGTTGTTTCTGTTGATTGGGCATCGACGTTCAGTTGATGGATCCATGTCATCTACCATTCCTTCATCTGGCAATTCAATCGTATATTGTCTTTGGTTGGATGATCTAGTTGTCTTCACTTCGCAATTGTCTTCTCTCCGTACAAGCTCGTAGGAAGCGGCTTGATGTAAAATTTCTTTTCCCTGAAGGATAAATAAACATTTATTTGTAACAGTTATTTTATCCAAAATTTTTGAATAGTTTTTCGGTTTTTAATAAGAAACGATTAAAAGGCATCCTTTTTCATTTTCTCTTACCTTGATAAAACTTCTGTTATTCTCATCTTGGCGATGTTTTAGGATCTGTTGGTTGTAGGTCTTCATCTGAAATGAAAGGATATTTCCCATCAGTAACAAAATAGATTGAATATTTCACTACACATGTTATAGAAACATTTACTTAGTATACTTTTAAAGATAGTAATGCTAAAATTTCATAAACGTCAGGGTGTAGCATTCACACAGAAATAAAGGAAGAACTGAGTAACAGTAGCGGATACCGGGAGGTGCAGGTGTAACAAAGTTGTAACAATAATTTCTTAACCACGAATTTTTCAGTTCTGAAGTTCATATTGGTACCTGATTTAGAGGAAGCCAATTAAATGCGTAGTTTACAAACTGGTTTGTGAATCTCATTATGAACTTTTGAACTTCGCAGCGAACTTGCTAACTTCGCAACGAACGAAGTTCGGAACATTTGTGATCAAAGTTTTATGGAATCGTCTGTAAAAATATTTAAATGATTGCATAAACATTGCACCAGCAAAACTTACTTCATTCACTGTATCTTTAAATCGTCGTTGCTTCTGTTTTGTCGGTTTCTGTTCTTCATTACTGTTGATGATCCATCATGCATGCTCCGCTCAATTTACAGTGAACCACCATAAAAAATGGGGGAAAATTCAGTTAACAAGCGCAACGATAGGACTTGGAAATGGACTTGCAACGCTAAATTTGACTTGAGTTTAAATAAAATAATACTAAAACATAAATAACAGTGACAAACCGTACATTTCCTATCATCTTTGGATAGTTGTAGCTTCGTTTGGTCGTCATTCTGTCGACACCTTCTACCATTTTCTCATCTGCTTGTCCCTCTCTGCTCTCGCTTTAATTGTGTCGTGCAGTTGTTGCCTTCATATCACTCTACCAAAAAAATATACAATAAAAATTTTAGGAAAGAATTTAAAAAGAATGGCAAGAGGAAATTTTACGAAGTAGGGCAGATTTTTTGAACAATTGTTACCTGTTGAAAAGCAACTAGTATCATAGGCAAACCAAAAAATATGTGTATTCACTTAAGATGCGTTAAAAACATTTAAAAATACGCAAAAATACTCGCATGATTACGTCATTGTATTGTTGTTTTGTATAATATCCTGAGGCTGGCAATTCTTTTATACAATACATTTACACACAATTTAATAATTAACAAATATAAAACATTTTCCATGTTGATATACAGTTATATCAACAAGAGTGGAATTGGGAAAACGAGAAATTGTATGGAAACACGACGCCCGAAGGGCGGAGTGTTTTCATACAATTTCGAGTTTTCCCAACTTCCACGAGTGTTGATATAACTATATATCAATACGGAAAAAATGTTTTATATTTTTTTTTATAATATAACAATGTCAAAAGCCCAAAGGTTAAGCAAAATTTCCGTGTTTACAAGCGGTGGAAAATTTCCCGTGTTGACATTGAGTTATATCTCGTGCTGTGCAAACTCCGGTTTTTCATCTCCGGCTCCGGCCGAATTACAGCTCTGGCTCCGGCCACATCATAAAATATTAAATAAATGTTTTACGATCAGAGAACATTTATTAATATTATTATTAATAACCCTTTTCGCGCTTCCTAATTATCAGATAACATAACTCAGGAAACAAAAAGTGAAAACACTTAACCACGCAGAAAATATCTATATGGAAACCAGCCTCGAAAAATCTTTCACACGAGGCATGACGCGAGGCATGACGCTAACACTCTCAGACTCCACAGCGCAATTGTTCGCACGCAAACAAAGTACTCTGTCATTTTCAAAAGGTTGATATTTATTTGTTTTGTACTTTTTCGTTATCTACAAGGCATGAATACACAGA